TGGTGACATTTGCATAACAATCTTTCTCGGTAGGACGCATAGCTGTTTAATGAAGAGCAACTCACATTTCTTCTATTCCAAGAGATCTTCTAAACAATTTTAGAGCCTTTTAAGTTCGGTTGGCCCGTGTCGGAGCGGGCAAGTGGGTTGCCTGAAGAGCCACAACGAGAGACAGTCGCGATGGTAGAAGTGCTTGCACTTGGGCAATACAGTCACCTCTTGCCCGTCGCCAAACTCCCCAAGGCAAATCGGGCACTCCTCTCTCCCTCGCTCCCTCACGCTGTAGAGCTCCAGGGGAAGTACCACCGAATCCATGCCATTCTCAAGTTTCTTCTCGGCCTCGCCATCCCTGGTGGAAGCTCCAGTGCCATACCCCGCGTCACCAAAGCTGCAATCTCCATCTTTGATGCACAACCAGCAGCTCCAACCCGCAAACCACGCGCCACCCAACAAGCAACAGATTTCAGACATCGCCCACTATAGTCGGTGTGATAGGGTTTTTCCTTTCACCTCTTTGGGGCTCTTTTATACCAGTCCGCCACCTTTTCCGATCGCCAGCGGTTGGAGTGGTTAGCTGAAGAAATCGTTCTTGACGCAGCTCGCAATAATTTGGACGACTAGAATGGCCACCTTAGCTACTTTGTGGCTGACTTCAGGGGGTTTTTGTTTGCGACAGCGTTGGTATAAAATCTGCCAGAATGTAAAACTCTGTAGACTTCACGAGGCAGGAACGAACGTGATATTTAATCTGAAGGAGTTGAGTCTGAATTTTTTCTTGTGAGTTTCTTCTTGTCTACAAAGTCCCGGCGGACTAGAAAGCTCAAGACCATCAAGATTCCCCCTTTCGCTGCTTCTCTGTGTCGCATTTCTTCATGGATCACGTCTTGCCGAGGAGTTCTCCTGCCTGGCTTGTTGTTGGTAGCATCGCGCAAGAGAGGAGGCAATCCAGCCTCGTGACGCTGAGACATTTTCTTCTCGTTCTGTGCTAGCCTTGGATGATCTTGTCGCGTCCAATTAGTTTACGCACAAATCGTATTTACCCGCTTCAGGTGACTTCTTATTCTATACCAGCAAGTCGGGGCTGCTGCGATTGCTACTGTGGTTGCTACGCTGATTTCGGCGGCTATAAACACTCCGTTTAGCTCCTGCAAGACAAGTACCAGGGCAAGATCATGGAGGCCAAGGACGCCCGAATGCGAGCAACGACGGAATGCTTAAAGAGCATGAGGATTCTCACTTACCTGCAGAAACTGGAAGCCTTGAGAGGTGTGGAGTATGGCTGGCTGAAGAAATCGTTTCTTTCCGCTTCTGGACAGATGATCACTGGAGTGGTCACTTTTGGTACTTGTGTGGTGCTGAAGATACCTCTGACCACTGGGAAAGTTCTTTCAGCGCTGGCCACCTTTAGAATTTTACAGGAGGCTAGCAGACTGTATTTCAACTCTGTCTCAAACAAGAGTTTCGCTGGATCGGCTGAGTAAGTTTCTTCACGAGCCAGAGCTTCAGGCTGTTTCTCGGACAAATGACCAAGATCCTACAGTAATTCTGGTGGAAGCAGCAGACGTCAGATGTCCTGAGCTAGAGTTAATCTGGATGTCAAAAAAGGGACGACAGTTGCGGTTTGCGGAAAATTGAGCTTGCTCTCGTGCCTTCTGGGAGAAATCCCAAAACTATGGTACGCATTTTTGTATTCTACCATTCTCCTTCCATCTGCTTTTGCAGGTCCAGGTAACTGGAAGAACATCGTACGTGGGCCAGACTGCTTGGGTACAAAGTGGAACGATCGAGAATAATGTTTGTTTTGGCTCGCCTATGGACAGAAGTAAATACGATCGCGTGCTGGAGATGTGTCAACTCAAAAGAGATCTGGAAGTTCTTCCATTCGGAAATCAGATAGAAATAGGCGAGAGGGGCGTCAATTTAAGTGGGGTTAGATAGCCGTGAAAGAAAGACAGAAAAAGAAAATGGAGGCCATGGCCGGGCGGCCAGAAGCAAAGGATACAACTTGCTCGTGCACTGTATCAGGATGGTGATACCTGCCTACTTGATGATACTTTCGGTGCCATGGACGTGGAAACTGGTATGTCTCTGTTTGGCTCTGTGATCTCACTCATAAATCATACACAGAATGTGTTCTTAATTCATTATTGATAATAATATAAAATAAAGTCCACGTTGACGAGCTCAATGTAGGTAAAAGATGGGCGATCTGGACCTTACTCTCAGCTTTTCCAAGCGAGCTAAACCTCTTGTTCTTGAGTGCCAATCTCTACATAAATTTCCCAAAGAGTGCTTGTTGGAGCACACAACAAGGCTATGGAGGTATCCAAATAATGAAGTAAAAAACAGAAGTGCAGAAGTCGAACGAGCCCAAGGCAGAACAACTGGTACAAAAAGAAGAACGCGAGAAAGGTAGTTTGGTTTGCAACTTTATGGATACTACTGCACGGCAGTTTACAAGGGCGTATGTTGGTGAGTATGCTACTGTTTCAAATCTTGCGTTAGACTGGTGGATGGCTCAGCGACGGCTGTTTGATCCTATTCGGTTGATCATCGGATACAGAGGATTTTTCGCTTGGAGCATCGCTGTGAACACCAGTAGGAATTCATTTGGTGAATTCTATTTGGAGCATCGCTGTTCGTGCTTCTCAGGGTGCTACATCATGTCATCAGCCTCGCGACATCTCAGAAGTTCTTCTTTGACATACTCCACTCATTTGCCAATTGATGTGGTTTTTTTATTCGACTCCAACTGGTAGAATTCTCAGCCGGGTACATCCGCTTACGTTTGAAGTTTTTAATCTCAGGCTTCTACAGACCAAAGTGCTCTCGACTTAAATGTGCCTTACAGGCTTGGGGGCCTTGCGTTCTCAGGAGTACAGCTTTTATACATTGTGGGAGTTATGTCTCAAGCAGTTTGGAGTTTTAATCGTTTTTGCTCCTGTGTTTGTTTTCTGTATCTTGCTACAGGTACATCTCTTTTTCAATCAATACCTCTGTTCTAATTAGAGTTGAATCTATTTGCAAAGGTGTTATATACCGTCAGGCAGGCAGAAGGATTCACCACTTTGCGGAATCTATTGCAGGAGCTCCGACAGTACGAGGCTTTTGCCAGGAAGAGCGTTTCATGCACAGGATCGACACGTCTGCTCGAGTCTATCTCTACTCGGCTGCAGCCATGGAGTGGGCCTCTATGAGGCTAGAACTCCTCACCAACGTTGTCTTTGGTTTCTGTTTGCTTCGATAAGGTTATCTCCCTCCCCTCGCATTCCCAGCGAGGCACCATGGGAGATTGAAGAGTCTAAGCTTCCGGAAAGCTGGCCTGCCACATGAAACGTTGAGCTAGTGGAGCTTAAGGTAGGAATTTCTAAAACTTCTATAATGGCTTTGGAACTTGAACAACATTTCTACGTGACATAGGTCCGCTACAACTCCAACTCACCGCTTGTTTCAACAATAACTGTGTATTTCCCGGAGTCGAGAGGATTGGAGTCGTGGGCCGGACTGGCAGTGAAAAATCCATGTTCATCCAGGCCATATTCTGAGCCAGCCGGTGGAAAGATCGTGATCGACGGCATGGACATAACGAAGATGATCTCCGATCCAGGCTCAGCATCATTCCACAGGATCCAACGCTGTTCGAAAGCATCCTTTCTAAGTTTCTTAAAAACCCTTGGATAAATGACTCGGAAACCTCGTGCGTGTATGTGTAAAAGGTGAGGACTGGAGCATGGGACAGAGACAATTGTTTTGCCTTGGACGAGTTATGCTAAAACAAGCCCGTGTTTTGATACTGGACGAGGCCACCACATCCGTGGACAGTGCCACCAATGGAGTGATTTCCCGGGATGCACTGTTATCACCATCGCTCGCCTACTGTGGTGGACAGCGACTAAGTCCTAAACGATGGTATTGTTTTGTTTTGGTGACATTTGCATACGACGAGCCGGGCAAGCTTTTAATGAAGAGCAGCTCACATTTCTTCTATTCCAAGAGATCTGGATTATCAACTCAAGTCTTTACAATTTTAGAGCCTTTTTAGTTCGGTTGGCTCGTGTCGGAGGCTACAGCGGCAAAGCGGGCAAGTGTGTTGCTTGAAGAGCCACAACGAGATACAGTCGCGATGGTAAAAGTGCTTCCACTTGGGCAACACACACACCTCTTGCCCGTCGCCAAACTCCCCAAGGCAAATGGGGCACTCCTCTCTCCCTCGCTCCCTCACGCTATAGAGCTCCAGGGGAAGTACCACCGAATCCATGCCATTCTCAAGTTTCTTCTCGGCCTCGCCATCCCTGGTGGAAGCTCCAGTGCCATACCCCGCGTCACCAAAGCTGCAATGTCCATCTTTAATGCACAACCAGCAGCTCCAACCCGCAAACCACGCGCCACCCAACAAGCAACAGATTTCAGACATCGCCCACTATAGTCGGTGTGATAGGTTTTTCCTTTCAGTTCTTTGGGGCTCTTTTATACCAGTCCACCACCTTTTCCGATCGCCAGCTAAGTGCACAGCGGGCACCGTTTGCCATTCACCGTACACTCCGTACAGCCCATTGTCGTTCCCATTGCAATCCAGGCATGGCACCAAGCTCGCTCCTCCACACCCCTTGCAAGCCATGGCGGTGTCTGTCCGCAAATCTCCACTGCTTATCATGCAAGAGCTTGCGAAGCTGGCCCTTGTTTTTTCGTTTAGCCGCTCCACGCCACGAATGTACCTGAGGAAGAGAACAAACGAGGACGGCGATGGATTAATTCCCTGACTGTGATGGATCGAAACTTATATAGTTTCGAGATCGTGGGGTACCTTCGATCGATGAACAGCGCTGGAAGTCGACTGTAGCACTCCTTTGCTCTCGAACGCAATGCCGTGGATCGCTGTGGTGGTGCTGCATTCCTCGTCGTGTGGTTTGAACGAGAGCGTGAGCCTGTTCCTGGGAGGTTCTTTCATCGTCGAGCTCGAGACCTCCGAGATCCAGTGGTCGTTGCGGGTTTGCTCCATCATGGACACGAAAGTGGAGAGGAGATCACAGTCATCGTTTGCGGCGTTGTCTCTCGTGGAAGAAGTAGTCACGCATTGGATGGCCAACCTGTGCTTGAAGTCACGAGATTCGTTGAGTTTCTTCTTGTCTACAAAGTCCCGGCCGACTAGTAAGCGATAAAGGCCCGCGCGACGCTCACAAATTACGTATATAGGAAAGGCTTGCGACTTTCTAACTTGTCGCAGGAGAAATACACCAGCGGAGAGATTGTCAACCATATGGCAGTGGATATCCAGAGGGTTCTCGACTTCTTGTATATGCACGATATCTGGATTTTACTGCTTCAGGTGGCGTTGGCACTTCTTATTCTATACCAGAAAGTCGGGGTTGCTGCGATAGCTAACGTGGTTGCGACGCTGGCTTCGGTGGCTATCAACACTCCGTTTACCTCCTTGCGAGACAAGTACAAGGACAAGATCATGGAGGCCAAGGACGCCCGATTGCGACCTACAACGGAGTGCTTAAAGAGCATGAGGATTCTCAAGGTGCAAGCTTGGGAGAAGGCCTACCTGCAGAAACTGGAAGCCTTGAGATGGCTGGTTGAAGAAACCGTTCTTGACGCAGGCAGCTATAATTTTCCTCTTCTGGACAAATCCCAGTGGTCACTTTTGGTACTTGTGTAAAAATACCTCTGATCACTGGGAAAGTTCTTTCAGCGCTGGCCACCTTTAGAGTTTTACAGGAGGCGCTCACAGCTCTACCTGACTGTATTTCAACTCTGTCTCGAACAAGAGTTTCGCTGAATCGGCTGAGTAAGTTTCTTCACGAGCCAGAGCTTCAGGCGGATGCTGTTTCTCGGACAAATGACCAAGATCCTACAGTAATTCTGGTGGAAGCAGCAGACATCAGTGAGTGGATGTCTAGAAGGGACGACAGTTTCGGTTTGCGGAATGGTTGGTTCCGGTAAATCGAGCTTGCTCTTGTTCTGGCATGGTACGCATTTTACCATTCTCTCTTTCTTTCCTTACATCTGCTTTTACAGGTCCAGGTAACTGGAAGAACATCGTACGTGGGCCAGACTGTTGGGTACAATGATCGAGAATAGTGTTTGTTTTGGCTCGCCTATGAACAGAAGTAAATACTATCGTGTGCTGGAGATGTGTCAACTCAAAAGAGATCTGGAAATTCTTCCATTCGGAGATCAGACAGAAATAGGTGAGAGGGGCGTCAACTTGAGTGGCGGCCAGAAGCAAAGGATGCAACTTGTTCGTGCACTGTATCAGGATGGTGATATCTACCTACTTCACGATCCTTTTGATGCTGTGGACGTGGAAACTGGTACTCAAATATTCAGGGTGAGCATGTCTGTTTAGCTGTGTGATCTCACTCATATACGCAGGAGTGTGTTCTTCAAATTCATTCTTAATGCAAAGACTGACATTTTAGTGACGCATCAAGTGACCTCATTTTGGTATGCTTTATTTACGTTGACGAGCTAAAACTCACTAGCGAAAGCTGACTCAGTGAAGGTTGAAGAGGCTAAACCTCTTGTTCTTGAGTGCCAATCTCTACAAGGAGGAGCACACAACAAGGCTATGGTGCAATAATGAAGAAAAAAAGAAGTACAGAAGTTGAACCAGCCACCAAAGGAAGAACTGGTACAAAAAGAAGAACGTGAGAAATGTAGTTTTGGTTTGCAAGTTTACTGGAACTACTGCACGGCAGTTTACAAGGGCGTATATTGGTGAGTATGCTGCTGTTTCAAATCTTTCAAATTGCGTCAGACTGGTGAATGGCTCAGCGACGGCTGTATCTCCACAGTTTGATCCTATTCGGTTGATCATCGGATACGGAGGATTTTTCGCTTGGAGCATCGCTGTGAGTCTGGTGAATTCCAGTGAATTCCGTTTGGAGCATCGCTGTTCGTGCTTCTCAGGGTGTTACATCAGCAACATCTCAGAAGGTCTTCTTTGACATATTGCACTGCATTTTTCATTTGCGGATGTGGTTTTTTTATTCGACTCCTACTGGTAGAATTCTCAGCCGGGTTACGTTTTGAAGTTTTTAAACCAGCTTGTGCGGTGCTTTTACTTCTCAGGCTTCTACAGACCAAAGTGCTCTCGACTTAAATGTGCCTTACAGGCTTGGGGGCCTTGCGTTCTCAGGAGTATAGCTTTTCTACATTGTGGGAGTTATGTCTCAAGCAGTTTGGAGTCTTAATCGTTTTTGCTCCTGTGTCTGTTTTCTGTATCTTGCTACGGGTAAATCTCGTTTTCAATCAACACCTCTGTCCTAATGAGGTTGTATTTATTTGCAGAGATATTACATATCGTCAGGCAGGGAGCTTTCCAGGCTTTAAGGCATCCAGAAGGATTGACCACTTTGCGGAATCTATTGCAGGAGCTCCGACAGTACGAGAGGAAGAGCGTTTCAAGCACAGGATCAACACGTCTGCTCGAGTCTATCTCTACTCGGCTGCAGCCATGGAGTGGGCTTCTATGAGGCTAGAACTCCACCCCCAACGTTGTCTTTGGTTTCTGTTTGCTTCTAATCGGCCGGAAAGCTGACCTGTGCTGAGCTGGGAGCTTAAGGTAGGAATTTCTAAAACTTTATAATGGCTTTGGAAATTTAACAACAAAGACGTTTCTATGTGATATAGCATTCAGGCCATATTCCGAGCCAGCCAGTGGAAAGAGCGTGATTGACCGTGTGGACGATCTCCGATCCAAGCTCAGCATCATTCCACAGGATCCAGCGCTGTTCGACGGCATCATCTGCTAGATCAGTTAAAACTAGTCATTCTTGTAAGTGCTAAGTGCACCCTTGGATAAATGACTCGGAGACCTCGTGCGTGCCAAGGAAGAAAAGCTGGACAAGCAATAAATGTGTAAAAGTTTTCTTCCTTATGTCTGAAAATGGTGAGAACTGGAGCATGGGACAGAGTCAATTGTTCTGCCTATGCGAAAACAAGCCCCTGTTTTGGTACTGGACGAGGCCACCACATCCGTGGACAGCGCTACTGTTATCAACATCGCTCACCTACTGTGGTGGACAGCGACTAAGTAGTAAACCTAAACGATGGTATTGTTTTTGTTTTGGTATAACAATCTTTCTCGGTAGGACGCATAGCTGTTTAATGAAGAGCAACTCACATTTCTTCTATTCCAAGAGATCTCCTAAACAATTTTAGAGCCTTTTAAGTTCGGTTGGCCCGTGTCGGACGCTACAGCGGCAAAGCGGGCAAGTGGGTTGCCTGAAGAGCCACGACGAGAGACAGTCGCGATGGTAGAAGTGCTTGCACTTGGGCAACACAGCCACCTCTTGCCCGTCGCCAAACTCCCCAAGGCAAATCGGGCACTCCTCTCTCCCTCGCTCCCTCACGCTGTAGAGCTCCAGGGGAAGTACCACCGACTCCATGCCATTCTCAAATTCCTTCTCGGCCTCGCCATCCCTGGTGGAAGCTCCAGTGCCATACCCCGCGTCACCAAAGCTGCAATCTCCATCTCTAATGCACAACCAGCAGCTCCAACCCGCAAACCACGCGCCACCCAACAAGCAACAGATTTCAGACATCGCCCACTATAGTCGGTGTGATAGGGTTTGTCCTTTCACCTCTTTGGGGCTCTTTTATACCAGTCCACCACCTTTTCCGATCGCCAGCTACGTACACAGCGGGCACCGTACCATTCCATTCACCGTACACTCCGTACAGCCCTCCGGCAGCCCATTGTCCGCTATAAACCGGCGGCTCCCATTGCAATCCAGGCATGGCACCAAGCTCGCTCCTCCACACCCCTTGCAAGCCATGGCGGTGTCTCTCCACAAATCTCCGCCGCTTGGATCATGCAAGAGCTTGCGAAGTTGGCACTTGCTTTTCAATTCGTTTAGCCGCTCCACGCCACCAATGTACCTGAGAAAGGGAACAAACGAGGACGGCGGTGGATTAATTCCCTGACTGTGATGGATCGAAACTTATATAGTTTCGAGATCGTGGGGGTGGGGACGTACCTTCCATCGACGAACAGCGCTGGAACTCGACTGTAGCCATCGCCCAACTCCGGCTCCGAGGAGACGTCTTTGCTCTCGAATGCAATGCCATGAATCGCTGTGGTGGTGCAGCATTCCTGTGGTTTGAGCTGGTGCGTGAGCCTGTCCCTGGGAGGTTCTTCGATCGTCGAGCTCGAGACCTCCGAGATCCAGTGGTCGTTGCGAATTTGCTCCATCATGGACTCGAATGTGGAGAGAAGATCACTGTCATCGTTTGCGGCGTTGTCTCTGGTGGAAGAAGAAGTCACGCATTGGATGGCTAACCTGTGCTTGAAGTCACGAGATCCGTCGTTGCTCAAAAGTGGAGAGGTGGAGTCGAGGATGACTTTCGGCGTGGGGGCCTGATCAACGCACGACCGGAGGTTGAAGGAAAAATTCCTGGCCACCACGATGTCTGGCGTGTTGTCCCCACACCTTGTCAATCCCTTCATGAGACTGCGCTGTGAATGCGAATGCGGTCCTCCAAACACCAGTGGACTCCGGGGGCTCTTCGGACTTCCACAGTGATTCCGGCTAGACTCCGGCGATGATGCCTCGCAGAGAGAGGAGATCTCGTCCTGGTCAGTCCACGACTCTGGCGTTGCCTGCCCGTCACTCCTCGCCTCCGGCATTGTGACACACGCTGCTTTCTCGTCTTGCTCTTCCAGCCCCTCCATGAGCGCCACCACGTCAATCACCTCGACTGCCTCCATCGCCTCAAAACCATCTTTTTTCTCCTCCTGGCGAGCTCTGACTTTCTCTGCGATTGGCAGCGGCTCAGGAGCGTGCTTGGCTCTGTGGTTCCTGCTATGGAGGAAGACCTCCACAATTGGAATGAGCAGGCGCTTCTTCCAAGACCGAGAGTGTCCTAGCCTCTTGGGCGATCTAGCCGTCGCTACTTCCTTAGAATTCGCACAGCCCATTTGCGAGTGTTTTCTTGCTATGGATTTCCCTGTTTAGTAGCCAAATACCGGAAAACTCCGCTGCAGCAAAAAGTCAAAGGAACCGATGAGACAAGCTAGAAAACAGAGCAAAAGAGCGAGCTAAAGCAATCACTCGCAGCAATTGCCCACCTTCCAGCGTTGAATTCCAATAGCCTCACCGACAGCATTTGTCTAGATGGTAGAGAGAAAAATTCGAGCGTCCTTTCGATCAGAGCGCCGCGCGGGGACCACGCTAGCCTGGGGGGAGGGACCCTTCACGCACAAATGGAGAGAGTGATTAGAATCAGCATAGAAAACCGAAAGTACTACTCGAATTCCAAGAAAATTCACCCTATAGAACGCAAGAAAACCATGAAAAAGAAGCAAGTGATCTATCTAGCAGTTCTCGATCGATGCAAATGCAAGGTACGTACCAGGGAGATCTCCACAAATGTATCTCTTGACCACAGCTCCAATTTCCAGAAAATCTAACCAATGAGATCGGCTGCCGCCGAGGGAGGCGAATTCTCTCCCAAAGATCCAAGAACTAGCTTCTTGGAATCCAAAATCTGGGACGAAAATCTTCCATATGCGCCGCCTTCGCTCATGTAGCGCCTCTTCTTGACCATCGCTAGCGGAAAAGAAAGAACTCTATCCTGTCTCTTAAAAGATACTTCCTCTCCAGGCGCTAGAAGGAATCGAACCCGAGATCTGCTGTTCTTCCAAGAACCATATTAATGCGATCGTCTCTACCTGTTTTTCGCATGGAGAATGGGATTTCCCTCTTCCTGCGAGCTCATCGAGCTCATAAAATCCTGCGCTCGCTCCAGAGACCTCTCTCGATGCCGGCAGCTCCACGAGCGCATCCTCCGCGAGGGAATCTGCGGCCAGAGCGTCTTCACGGCCCTGATCGACATGTATTCCAAGTGCGGCAGCGTCGACGACGCCCGATCCACATTCCTGTCCCTGCGCGACCCGGATTCTTACTCCTGGAACACGTTCCTGGCGGCGCTGGCGAGCCACGGGCATCTCCGCGAGGCGCACGACGCATTCGATCGAATGCCGCAGCGAAATATCGTGTCGTGGAGCGCGATCTTGAATGGCCATGCAATCATCGGAGAGATGCGCGAGGCGCTAGCGATTTTCGATCGAATGCCGATGAGGAACGCGGTGCCCTGGAATGCCCTGATCAAAGCGTATGCCCTAGATGGGAATCTGGTAGATGCGCGGCATCTATTCGAAACCATGCCCGCGAAGACGGCCGTGACGTGGAACCTCTTGATCACCAGCTATGCCCAGCTAGGGCATCTGGAGGAATGCTGGAGTTTCTTCAATTCCATGGCTGGTCGCGACATTGTGACCTGGACAACGATCATCCAGGTCTTTGCCGACGCCGGCGACATCGAATCGACACAGATTTTCTTTAATCGCGTGCCTTTTCGCAACATCTACACCTGGAACACGCTCCTCGCGGGCCATGCCCAATTAGGGCATCTTGATCGAGCGCTAGACCTCTTCCGGGAGATGCCCGAGCGCGATGTGATCTCCTGGAACGCCCTAATCGTTGCCCACGGCGAGAAGGGCTTTGTAGACCAAGCCCGGCGAGCATTCGACCTGATGCCCGAGCAAGACGTGGTGTCCTGGACGGCCATAGCACAGGCATATTCCCGAAATGGCCACCTGGCCCGCGCGCTCGGAATGTTCCAGGCGATGCCGCAGAAGAGCCCCTTCGCGTGGACGGCCACGATCTCGGGATATGCCGAGAACGGGCAAATGTGCGAGGCGGAATCTACCTTCCACACCATGGAGCACAAGGGGGTGGTGGCGTGGAACGCGCTGCTCCAGGGACACGTGGACAACGCCAGCGCCGTCGAGAAGGTGCGGTCGGGATTCGATCTCATGCCTGCGAGGAATCTCGTGGGCTGGAACTGCATGCTAGCGGCATATGCCCACGCGCGGCATCTTGACGAGGTCCGGGGGATATTCCACGCAATGCCGCAAAGGAACGCCTCCTCTTGGACCTCGCTGCTGGTGGCCACTGGCCACAAATGCCCGCCCCGTACAGCCGAGCTCGTGTACGGCAGAATGCCCCAGTGGAGCGTTCCCGCCACGACGAGCTTGCTCCTCACGCTGGCCCAGGGCGGCGAGCACTCGCGCGCGAAGGAGCTCTTCGATTCCATGCCGCAGCGCAGCGCGATCTCCTGGGCGGCGCTGCTCCAATCCAGCGCGCTGGACGCGAGCTCGGCGATGGAGGTCTTCGCGCGATCGCCGTGCCACAACCTCGCCGGGTGGACGGGGATGATCCAGTCACTAGCGCTGGCGGGACGGATCGACGCCGCGCGGGATCTCTTCGCGGCAATGCCCGAGCACGACACCAAGTCCGACACAGCGATGATCCAGGCGTACGCCGAGGCCGGGCATTTGCCGGAGGCGCTAGAGGTCTTCGCGTCCATCCCCTCGCCCGACGCATTCTCCTGGAACACCGTCTTGCAAGCCTGCGCTGTTCATGGCGATCTCGCGAAGCTCCGGGAGCTCCTCCACAAGATGGGCAATCCAAACGCCGTGTCGTGGACGATCCTGATAGTGGCGTATGCCCAGAGGGGGCATCTGGCGCTCGCGCGGGAGATCTTCGCCGGGATGGCCTCGCAGGACTTCGTCGCTTGGAGCGCGATGATCCTCGCCTACGCAAACACTGGCGCCTACGCCGCGGCGCTGGATCTCTTCCGGCAGATGGTTCTTCACGGCTTCCAGCCCAGCGACATCACCTTCGTGGGTCTTCTCGCGGCTTTCGGCCATGCCGGGAGGCTCCGCGAGGGCGTCGAGTGCTTTACGGCCATGCAGGACGGCTTCTTCGTGCCACCCACGCTCGTCCACTTCCACTGCATGATCAATGTTCTCGGCCGCTCCAAGCATCTGGGAGACGCCGAGGAGCTCGTCGAGACGATGCCGTTTCTGGCGGACGAGGTGGCGTGGATCACGCTGCTGGCAGCGTGTAAGATGCACGGCGACGTCAAGCGGGCCGAGAGGATCCTGGAGCGAGTGAAAGAGCCCACTGCGTATGTTCTCGTAGCGAACGCGCTGCGAGAGCCATCACTGGGCTTCGCTTCTGCAAAGTAGCAAGCGGGAAAGTTTTTAGAACCGACAAAAGTTTTGGAGAGATCATACCTGTGACCGCCATTCTTTGATAGATAACTGGAAGATCTGGAACCATCATTCGAAGTCAGAGAGAAAGAACCAAACCGGAAGTTAAACTGAAAGATCTATAACAAGATCAAGCGGGACATCAAACAAGTTATACAAAGCCTTGATAGTTGATAGTTAGTTGGGTATCAAGTCTGACTGTCATCGGTACCTAAACTGGAGCTCGAAATCAGATAAAAAGAGTTAGCAGAGAAATATGTCTGCCTTTTTACCTTGGTGATGAAGTGCAGGATCCCTTGAGAAGGGAAGCCACGGCGTGGGCGACGTCTTTCCGAATTGCCTTCTTGACATCTCCCCTCTTTGGAGACGAGGAAGTAGAGCCCCGACGACTGAAGGAAGCATCGTTTCCCATTTCTCTCCTTGCTTCTTTCTCGCCAAGCAACCTCTTTATCTCCTCTTCGATTCCACCAATGATGATAGCTTGATACCGTTCTGCATTATCTCCATTGCTCGAATATAGTCTGATCAGCACAGGAAGGAAAAAAAAAGAAAAGAATGAGATAAAGCTTTCGAAAGTTTTTGAAACATACCTGGAGTTACTGAAACAAGCTTTTACTTGACGTTAAAACTGCGTGACCGGACGTTGGAGAGCATTGCTAGAGCGGAGCCCGAGTGACACTCATCGTCCATCGTCAAAACTTTATCGGCAGCTCGCTCGGCACGCTTCACATCTTCGTGATTCGTGCACGCCCCCAGGAACGCCGTCCACAGCACCACACTCGGCGCCACCGGCATCTCGCTCGCCAGCTCTTCGGCTTCGTCGAGCCGGCCTTTACGTCCCAGGAGATCAACCACGCATCCGAAGTGCTGGACAGTCGGAGAAACTCCAAAGTCTTGTTCCATGGACGAGAAGAGAGCTTGAGCCTGTTGGAGAAGCCCCCTGTGGCTGCAAGAGCTTAGCACGTTAATGAAAGTGACCGAGTTTGGTACCTGGCCTTGGAGCTGCATGAGCCGGAACAGCGCGAAGCACGAATCTCCACCACTGGCCTGAGCAAAACATCCCAGTAGCGAGTTCCACGAGACCACGTTTTGTTTTTCCATGAGCCGAAACACCAGAGCAGCTTCATCCAAGTGCCCAAACTTGGCGTACATGTTGATGAGTGAATTCCCAACACCAACGTCGTAATGATCGAGTTTCCTCTCTGCAACCAGCACATGAATTTTCCTGCCCTGGCTCGGACTTCGGGATGAGTCGATGGCAATGATAACAGCAGCTTTGCTCGGCCTGACACCTTCCAGTTGCATTTCGCAGAATAGCTTCAGTGACTTGTCGACATGGCCATTCTGAGCGCACTGTCCAGCAAGTGTCTTCCACAAAAGCGGTTCCCGACGAGAGCTCAGAGCTCTAAAGACCTGTGTGGCTTGGCCAAGCTCCCCGCATTGTCCATAAAAGTTAACTAGTGAGGTACCAATCTCCGGCTCGTCTTCAATCTTAACGCCTGTGTTGATGATCTGTTCGTGAATCTCCCGGCCCGTTTTGTAGTCCCCCAGCACACCACAGGCATCCAAGACAACCGAAAACGTGACTGCGTTCGGTGCCAAATCCATCTGTCTAAAGAGCTCCACCGCCTCTTTCGTTTCGTCGCGTAGAACATACGCCGAGATGATGCTGTTCCAGGAGACGATATCCCGGATCACCATGCTGTCGAAAATCCTCCTGGCCTCTTGCAAGCAGTTGCATCTGGAATACAGAACTATAAGAACGTTGGCCGATTTAGTATTGACAAACTCCATACCAGCCTCTTTCAAGAGCTCGTGTGCCAGCTTCAACGACTTTAAATCCCAGCATGCGTTAATGAAGGCAACGAGCGATATCTCGTCGCACTTGACACCTTCCAGCTGCATTCTCCAGAAAAGAGCCGCTGCTTCTCTATTTCTACCTCGCTGCGAAAACGCCTCGATAGCTCCTGTCCAGTGAAAAGCATTAGTCGAGTGGTGGTTTAAAAACTCTAGCAATAACTTACGAGCCACCTCAAGCTCGCCACAACGGCCATACAAGTTGGTGAGTGTGGCACCGACGATCTCGTCCATTATCAGGCCCGCTTCTACGATCAAGCCATGAATCCAGGTGACGTGCTTCAATCCCCACGATGTTCTCGAGCTGCCAAGATCACTACACGCCGTTAGAACAGTGGTGAATGTAACCTTGTCAACTTTGATACCTTCTACCAGCATTGCGTGGAAGAGCTCCAGCGCTCTGGCTCCATCGTTCTTTGCCACTGCTCTAATGATCGACGTCCAGCTGACCGTGTTCTTGAGCGGCAACGCATGAAACATCCTCACTGCCTGGCCGGTATCACCACACCGCTCATACATGCAGAGCAGCGCGTTTCCCACAACAACATCCCGCTCCAAGAATCCTTCTCGGACGATGCATTCCCCGATGATCTTTCCCGTGCCAAGAGCCTCGGGGCCGCCGCAAGACCCAAGGAGAACCACAAAGGTTACGCCGTCGGGCCTCACATTCTCGCCCAGCATTCGCCTCAGGAGCTGCAGTGCGGTGCCGTGATGCCCCCGCTGGGCATACGCCGCGACGATCGCCGTCCAGGAGAAGAGATTCCTCACCTGCATATCCTCGAAGACCTGGCGCGCGCTGGAAATGCTGCCGCAGCCGCCATACATCGCGATGAGGTGATTGACGAGGACGAGATCGAGCGCGCCGCCCTGCGCCATGATCCAATGCGCCCGCCGCCCCTCCGCCAGCGCCCCGTGGCGCTGGCATTGCTCGAGGAGCTCAACCCTAAACCTGTGACTGCAACGCTCCCCCTCGACAAGACGGCGCTGGATCATCCAAGCGATATGGCTGCGCGCCATAGGGCCCAAGTGGCCATACGTTTATACTTTATTAATAGTAACAGTAATAAACGCGCGAAGATACCACTGCATTAAAAAAGGTGAGAAAAAAAATCGCGTGTGTGAAAGGACACACAAGAGTAACATGATGGGGACGTTGCTAGGGGGCAGGGTGGCAGCGGGGAATCGAACCCCTGACCTCCTTGCGTGTGTGAGACCATCATCCAGCTGTGTTTGTGCGTGCTCTCTCTCCTTTGTCGTGCGTGCGTTTGCGGCACCACCAAGCGCGAGCTAGCTATCAATCAAACCAAACCAAACCCTAATTTTGTGGAGGAGGGAGGAGAGCTCGGCTATGGCGGCAGCGAGGGCTTTTTCTCCTCCTCCTAGCTTGCGGCGGCGCAGCGCCACGGCAACGAGCGGCCGCTCGGATTCCAAGCTCGTCTCATCGGGATCCGCGTAAAATCCTCGCCGCTCGGTGGAATCTTGCTCGCCGCCGGGAATGTGTTCTTGTTTGCTTCTCTCAGCAGGAGATTTCCACTTTTCCTCGCAATCTAGGTTCTCGTCGGCAGCGGTGTAGCAATTACGAGCTAATTGCTCGTTGGATTTTTCCTCCCATCCACCTCGGTTTCTTCGGTCCAAGCAAGCCCTTTTCTCTTCATAGAACACTCTGGTGCAGCTCCTTGTCTCGTTCCTTCCCCCCGTCGCTGCAGTGTCTCCGTTCGCTTTCGTGATATTGGTAGGAGAGATCGAAATCGATCTGCATGGAAGAAATATCCACCTAGAGGTATCTAGCTAGAACTTTCAAAGTTTATGACATGCCGTCCTCTTGTGGCACGAGTCGCTGTTCTTCCCCATGCCTTCCTTCTCTGGACTGCATCTCCTCGCCAAAAAGGATCGCCAATGGGTGGACTCGGTGGATCCAGGAGCAAAGCTCGCAAGTTGCTCCTGGTTTATGAATTGGGTTCCTGGAAGGAGTCCTGGGCGACGTACACGGCAGGCAGGCAGGCAGGCAGGCATTTGCTTTCATGGTACTCGCTCTCACTCATGATGCTGGGCTTGATCTTCCTTCAGTGAGAGCAGGGGCTAAAGGTGTGTGTGGTCAGATCAGCTACCCGGTGATTTGCAGAAGAAGAAGCTCCATCTGCAGTCTTCGATGGTGATGGTGAGGGGGCTCTTGTTTCTTGGCTGACGAGTTTCTCGGTTTCCATCTCCTCGATTAAAGCTAAAGCTATACAGTGTTGGTGGTATGCAGTGATCTCCCGCCGCGCCGGTGTCTTGGTCGTCGTCCTTGTGGGTGGCTCATGCTCCGGGAATGCGCATTCGAAGGCAGCAGCAGCAGCAGCGGATGGAGAGCTTGAGTGTTACTGTTCTTCCTGCAACTCTGCTGCAAGAGAGAGACTCAAAGTCGTCGTGCTCGGAGGCCATCCCTGGCAGTTTGTCCAGATCCAGGAGGTCGACCAACTGGCTGGACAAGCTCCGGGCCTCCAAGGGGTTCTCGCCGGAGCCCAAAGTCGAGATTGAGGAGTTTGTGAGGACCCTCCATGGGAATTCTTCCGGAGATTCCAAGAGCAGCGGCGTCACAGCGACCGCTCCTTTGCGCTCATCGGCTGGGAATGTAGCCGACTGCAATGCCGCCAGCGGCAGCGGCAGCGGCACCACCTCAGAGGAGAAGCTTTGTGCTGTGGAAGACAAAGTTGGATTTCCAGGAGGGGATTGCAAGGTGGAGGATGACAGACGTGGTGAAGCAGAGGTTGCTGTAGTGGGTACAATGGATTTGGTACAATTTGAGCAGTGTGATTCTTTTGACCCCGACGGTTCGAAGGCCAAGCCCAGCAGCAGCAGTGGCCAGTGCATGAAGCTGTCGAATTCTTCCGAAGGGCTCTCGCAAGTTTGTCCAAGTGAAGGCTCTTCGCCGGAGGAGAACGGGAAAGGCAAGTCTTTAAGCCCGGGAATCAGTAATGCAGATAATGGTAACGCCATTGCTCCGGCCAAAGCTTGTGGGGACTACGACGTCTACGCGTTTGGATTGCCTCGGGAAGACTTCGAGCCGTCCCAAGGGTGTGTGACGACGGTGAAGCAGCAGCAGCGGAAGCAGCAGCGCAAGAGGAAGCAGCAGAGGCCGAGGAGCTGCCCGAAAACAAACACCTTTTCTCCCGGGCAGGAGGTAACTGGACCTTTACTGCAACGAAGGAACCTGGAGCTCCTGCGGCTGGGGAGCTACTGTGTGCAGGAGAGGGGGAGTCCAGAGTCAGAGAAGGCGAATCCCGTGTGCCGGACTCAACTGGCATTGCGGCAAGAGTATCTGACTGCGACACCGTTGAATTGCAGTGACGAGAAGAGGAGAAGTTGCGCGAGCTTGACAACCAGCTGCATGGAGAAGATGCGCGCCTTCAGCCTGCGGAGCCAGTCCTCTACAGAGTCGGACGGAAACGGGAGCGATAGTACGTCCGACTCGTTGACCCTTCGCAGGCGAGGGATGAAGCAGTCAAAGGATCTACAGGGTGCTATTTGCTCCAAGAGGAGAAAGTTGTATGCTGCTGGAGCTCCTGTTACTGTAAGCCGCGTTTGTTGCACATTAGCCGTGGTCGTTAACAACTTGGATTTGCAGCCATTCCAGGTGGAGCGAACATTGTCTTTGCAGAAAGATGACCACTTGCAGGCACGGAGGAGGTATGTAGTTCTCAGCCCACTGCTGCAAAGCTCGTGTTCTTATTTGACTCTTTCCAGGACACCGCAAACGAATGGCTTTTTCGGTAAGGACGTGGCTATCCTTACAGCTACTGTACTAATTGGACTTTATTTCTTTGTGTTCTTTGAGCAACAGATATTGCTTCGTCCATGCTTAGAGCACCACTCGGTGTCTCCAAAACTTTGCCTCCTCCTGACGATCCTCCCGACCACCCGGCGAGCCAACCGAAGGATACACTCGCCTCCTCAGTCTACCAGGTATTCATGAAGGCTGGCAAGAACGGCTTGACAACACGGGAGGCCGTCTCCAAGATCATCGAGGAAAAGCTTCCGGGGCTCGGGGAATGCAGCGTGGTGGCGAGGGTGGAAGTGGGGAAGATCGTGCGCACGTCTCCTTACTTCATGGAGCTGGAGGAATCAAGGTTTGTACTGTGCAGTGCAATAACCGGCATAGAAGACAAAGCAAACAACAAAGGCCCAGGGGCGGAAAAGGTAAAGGAACAGGTGTACGAGCTCCAGAACTGGGCCGCTCTTGCAGTTAGACGGGCGCGGACAGGCAAAACGAGAAGGAAACCAATCCGTGACAGGAGTGGTCTGGCAGTGTCAGTAGTGGGAAAACCAGGTAGCGAGGAGAATAGTAAAGCAGCAGCACCAGCAACAGCACTCCAGCAGAAGCAGCCCCAGCAGCATCAGCAGCAGCAGCAGCAGCAGCAGCGTGAACAGGAACCGCCCCGGAAGCGACGACTGAAGTCTGTACAGCAGGATAGTACAGGTCTCGGGAACCGCTGCAACCGGTCTGATGGCAAAGGCTGGCATTGCCCGCTGCTAGCACAGGTCGGGTACTTGCTTTGCGACCACCATCTGGACAGGTTGCGAGCAAAGTCAGGCTCCAAGGCGAGGAGGCCCAACAAAAACCGAGCCGAGAAGCGGGCCAACAACAACACCACCACCAAGAACAGTGCTGGAAACCACGCCACCGCCGCCACCAACAGAAATAGCAACAAAGGCAACAACAACGTCACCACCACCAACACTGGTAGGGGTAAGCAGGGAAAGGCTAGTCACAGGAATGGATTTAAAGCTCCGGCGCCACCGCCGCCGACGAATCCAAGTGGGAGGGAGGCGTGGGGGTCTCGTCAGTCTTTGGGTGTAGCGAGAGTAGGACGGGGTAGCGAGAAGCGGCAGAAGAAGGCCGAGGAGCTGCAGGACGAGTCCGGTGGAGAGGAGGTGACGACGTTTGGGTTGAGGTTCTAGATAGGAGGAACAGGAGGAGTGGCAATCCCAATCTCAATCCCAGCGGTGATGAGATTGATGATCACTGAAGAAGAGCCGGGGTGCTTGGATCATAAAAGGTGGAACTTGGAAGAACAGTGGTGGTGGTGGAGGAGAAGAGCGAAGAGGAGGTGACGACGTTGGGGTTGAGATCCTAGACAGGAACAGGGAGCGGATCGCTTGGGCCATCAAAGTTGGAACTTGGAAGAACAGTGGTGGAGGATAAGAGCGAACGTTTGGGTTGAGGTTCTAGATAGGAACAGGAGGAGGAGGATTCGGTGGCGATCCCAATCTCAATCCCAGCGTTTGATGATCGCTGATGGAGAACTTGGAAGAGCAGCGGTGGAGGAGACGAGAGCAAAAGACACTGGCGGCGATGATGAGGTGGTAATAACCCACGCACTTTGATTGGAGAGATTTTTTGGAGAATGGTAAGTTAGGTGGAGGGGAACATTGATTGATTTGATTTGATTTGATGGAAGCGGCGCACAACAGTGGCAGTGGCAGCGGCAGCATCGCAATTGGTTTGTTGCAGCGGCGACGCAAAAAAGAGGAGAACAGCAAAAAAAAAAAAGAGAGAGAGCCAAAAGCGACGATCGATCAAAGTTTGTACAGGAAAGAACCATTCATTCTTTTAAAGAAGGGGAAAAAAAAAGGGCACAGTAAAAGTAAGAAAAGGTGTTTTGTTTGGTAGGAAGTGAGGTACTCTTACCCCTTCGTGGAGTGAAAGCGAGACAAGGAATCTTTTTTTTAAATGCCCGTGCTTGCCTCCCTCTCGCTGGGACTCCGAGGGTTTAGGGTTTTCTCTCGCTTTGGCTTTTGGGCGAGGAGGGGATGGCGGATGATGCCGCCTACTTGGCGCTCGTGGAGCGCTTCAAAGCTGTGCTCGGCGGCCCCGATCTCGCGGGACATGCGAGCGCTGGCGGCGATCTGGCGGTTGAATCGGTGAGTTTTTGCCTTTTTCGTGAGGATTTTTGGCGAGAATCGTTCCGGGCACGGCATTGATCCTGGGATTCTGCGTTTCTAGGTTGGCGAGAAGCGGAATCGAGTCGGCGAGGGCGAGGGGGAGGAGAGGAACAAGCCGAGCAAGAAAGGACGCGGGGCGAGCGAATGGTTTCTGGTGTACACGCAGTCGAGCATTATGAGGAAGCAGAGGTCTGTTGGTTTGTTTGTTTTGCTTATTTGTTTGCTTTCTCGGAGTGGCATGGAATGTAATGAACTTCCTTTGCTTATCTCAGCTCATTGATGGTTTCCTTGGAAGCATTTTTCTTTTCCTCCTGTTTTCTGGGAGCGGTCAGTTTGATTTCATTCTTTGATGATTTTCTTGACTTACATTAGCTTTTTTCATTCTCTAGCAGTGTTTTGCCTCATTCCATTGGCTTTTTCTTTTCTTTTTGTCTCTTGTGTTGCATTTCCTATTGCTTTTTGTAGCTCCTTTTCCTGTTTTCGTTGATAATTTCGTGTCTATAGATACATGTACAATGTTGCAGACGCCCGGGTAGCGCAGTACGTCGAAAAAGGACTTTCGGATAATCTCTTTATCAGCGACGTCTCGTCGTCGTCGAATCTATGGGCTCTCATTTTGGACGCTTCAACCGGCTTCACGGCGCAAGAGTACTTGATCTCTTCCGTGTTTCTCAACAAGGTACCGAACGTATGTTTCTTTTCGATGTCACGGCTCATTCTTTGTACGCAAAGGAATGGATCGTGGAACACTGGAACAAAAACTACTTCATTACCGCGGTAGCGGGTGCTAGCAATGGACATTCACTACTCGTCATGTCCAAAGGTACGTGTCTGGGAATCATTTAAAGTTATAAATTGGTTTCTCTTGCCAGGACCACCTTACACTCAGCAGTCGTATAAGATATCCAGGAAGTTCCCGTTCACCTGGATAAAGAAGAAGTGGCGTCAAGGCTTTTTCGTGACCAATCTCACTGCCACTGGCAAGCGCTGGGCAGCGGTAATGTCAAAGACAACGTTTTTTAATGATCAGGTTCGCCTTGCTTGCACAATTTTCTAAGTCATTTGCTTTTTCAATCTATCCAGTACGTAGAACTTGACTGCACTTACACCCGGGATAGACTTAATCGGCTCCGTGGCCGGGGCTTCCAAATCACTGCTGTTGGCAATACTCCGGAGCACGCAGCAGTGGTTCTTAGTTCCTTCTCTGGAGAAAATGGACAGGGCCGTTTTCCAGCTGCTGAGCAACAAGCATCGATCTCGGGATCATTTCCCAGCAATCAAGTCAAGGTAAGTTTTTCACTTTCTCAGTCCTCTCTTTCTTCTTCTTCTAGTTTCTTTCAGCTTGCTGAAATCTATTTCTTCCTCTTCATCTTCTTCGTCTGTGCTTGTAAGTTTGGATTTTAGAATTGAAGAAGAGTTGATCGCTTACAAGCATTGCAGGAGAATTGGACAAGGCGACTATACATCTCGCAAATGAGCTATGGACGCACAAACCATTTCGAAGGAAAGGCTGTGAAGCTCGCGATTGGCAGGCCGGTAACTAACAGCGGTGAAGTAACAATGGCGCTGTAAGAAAAAAATTGATTTTGCCTTGTACAAAGTAAAAGCGCTTTTTGTTCTTAGTTTAGTCTCCTCGTGGTCAACCTAACTAGGGTTTCTCGCGATTCAGCTGGCGATCTCCAATGCGGGAGCTGGAGAGATCGCAGATCCAGGCCCGTTGGGAGGATTCGCGTCGAGATTACAGGTAGCGCTGGAGGATGGGTGGGATTTTGCGAGAGGATTCGGGAATGTAGCCAGCGGCCCGGTGGATTTTGTAAATCGCGCGTGCTCGCTCGCCCGCGGCCACCATGATGATGGCTTATGGATGGCCGAGGCTCTTCCCGCTGTCAGCTTCGTCGCGGCAATTCGTCATCTATCTGAAGGTCTTGGAGGATTTGCTGCTTGTTGTGACCAAGAGCGAGATAGAAATATGGAGCTTCGCACAGGTAGCGTACTGTTTTCTCTCTTTGATCGATTTGCGGGAGCGCTTTTAACATTGGGTGTTCTTCCAGCATAGAATAAAGCTCGGGCATTGCGTTAGAGAAGCGTCATCTTTGGACAAGGAAGGGCCAAATGCGTTTGCGGTCTGGAAAGCCGATGGAAAATCTCTTGCTGTCATTGTAAGTTCTTTCTCTTCCTTTTTTTTCCATAGTTTCTGATGCTATGTCGCTTTGTTCTCTCTTTTTTTCTTATGAATTCTTCAGACTGCTGGCTTTTTTTTCTCTGTCTATGAGATTGCCATCTCTGGCAAGAAGCTTGCCGATGCAAACCATGCGGTCGACTTACTCCATTTCAAATGTGGCTTCAACACTAGACTGTCTCAAAGAGTGACAGCGTAAGGCAGGTCTCTGGTTTGTTCGTTTTGATGTTCTCTCTTTTACAGACTTACGAGTGACGATGCGTCGATCCTCCTCGGCTTGTCAGATGGTTCCTTGGCAGTGATGTCTTGGACGGGAGAGGTAGCTGTTCCTTTCTTAGCTAAACTCTCTAGTTATAACTGGATCATTACAGGAAGTGGGGAACGTTAAACTTCGCGGCGGCTTTGTTCCGTTAGTCGGCATCCTGCCTCTTTCCGTGGAAAATGGAAATTTGGAAGCATCTGGCCTGGGAGTTGTTCAACTTGAAACGTCAACTGTCTTGCAAATGCTGGTGGTGGTTTTTATGGATGGTCGTGTCCTTCAGTGCTCGATCGACCGTAGGAGCCCAGCTGATATCAAGCCGGAAAAATGGGCCTCTATATTTGATGCTGTTTGCACATCCATCGGCCAGCAACTCCAGTTGCTAGCAGTCGGCTCAAGACGTGGAACAGTCGAGCTGTTAAACTTGGCTGATAACCTCTCTCATATTCGGACCATTTCGCTCTTGGACTGGGGGTAAGCATCCATTTCGTCCTAGTCGTTTCGGGTTTTCTGAGTTTTATGTTTTGCAGGTATTCCGTAGAGGACACTGGCTCCGTCGCGTCCATGAGCTGGACACCTGATAACTCTTCGCTTGCTGTTGGATGGAAGAACAGAGGGATTTCTGTGTGGTCTGTCTCGGGCTGTCGACTTATGTGCTCCATCCGCCAAGGGAGTGTAAGTAATGCATTTTCTCCTGCTTCATCTGGAGTTGACGCATCGAGACATGAGCCTTTGGCAAATGGTGCAGCACATTTGGCTTGGGGACCGCATGGCTTCAGCTTAATAGCTGCCGGGCCAAGAAACGTTAAGGGGCTTCTGGAGTTTTCTTTCGCCAAAAGTTCTCTAAAACGATGTGTATCCGGGAGTTCTCATATCCTGGATGTACTTTATGGAGAAGACAGATTGCTCCTTGTTGAGTTTGACGAGGAAGACGAGCTTAAGTTACGGCATCTGATGATTCCGGTATGTTATGGGCAATTTCATTCGTCAACTATTTTGCTTGTCTTCTTTGCTTTTCCAGAAAACTTACATAAGTGAAGGCTGGCCGGTGAGGCATGTGGCTATTAACGAAGACGGAAGCTATTTGGCAATAGCTGGCAAGCAGGGTGTGATTCTTTACGACGTTCTGATGAAGAGGTGGCGTGTCTTTGGCGACATAACGCAAGAGCGGCAGATTCGCTGCTTCCAGTTGATCTGGCTTGACAAAATCATAGTTCTACTCAATTATCGTGAGGCGACTGATTCGTAAGCTATTTCGTATTCTTGACCCGTATTTTATACATTGCGCTTGACAGGTATGAATTAAGTCTGTATCCAAGGTTTCATCTTGATGAGAGCTCGCTGTTGTGCCGCAAGATGCTGCCTGGGAATCCTATAACGATGGACATCTGGCAGCAGTACATCCTCGTTGCATTTGCTCCTTTTGATCTGAGGATTTTTCGTGTCACCATGGATGGGAATGTAACTCCTTTCAAGGTTCCAGTTGTCCAGGTACATATTCACCTTCGGTTTTTCTTTTCTTCTTGTGCTAAAATGTTTATGTTCATGCCAGCTAGACACAGTACGGGAGCTGTCAATTGTTAGTGTCAAAAGGGCTCCTGTGGCACTGCAGTTAGTACCACCACAAAGAAGCCCGGAATCATCTCAGCAACCTGGCAGGTACATTTTTGTTAATCATCTTGTTCTGAAAGTCTCAAGCTAAGTATTTGAACTATAGGTGCGTGGTTTTGCGTAACGATGGAGAGCTATCAATACTTGACCTTGACAAAGGCAGTGAACGAAGCCTTGCAACTGGTATCGAGAGATACTGGCTGACGTCCGGCAATGCACATATCAAGGGTCTAGCGGAAGAAATATCCTGGTGGGCGTATGGTCACCAGGGAATGCAGGTACTTTCATTGAATGTGCCAGCTATGTTACGTACGTTCTCACACGAAACTCCAGGTCTGGTACCCGTCGTCTTTGTCGGCTGATAAAACGTCACAGGTAAGCCTTGCACAGCACAAGTAGCTTCTTTACGAGTCTCGTGACCTTGTTTATCCAGCTGGACCCTGAAATTGGGTTCGATAGAGAAGTTTATCCGTTGGCTCTTTGCCCTTCTGCTGGTGTTCTTGTCGGGGTCTCACAACGCTTGTCGGTATCAACATGCAGCGAGATGCCGTGTTTTGAGCCAATTCCTCAAGCCGAAACTATTCTTCCTTGTTTGCTTCATCATTTACTTCAGGTATGTGTAAACTTTTTGTGAAAGAGATGTTTAACGTCCTCTGCTGTTCTGACAGCGTAACAAGCAAGACGAGGCGTTGCAGCTCGCAAAGCTGTCTGCAAGAAATCCACACTTTTCTCACTCTTTGGAATGGCTGCTCTTCAGAGTCTTTGACGGTGCAATATTCAGGTATGCTGCTTGCGCGTAAAAGTTTTGGTTTAGCCTTTTATGTTATTGTTCACAGACAGAATCCCAAATCCAACCTGGAAGTCTCGACAAAAAAGACTAGTCTCCTCGAGCAAGTATGCGAGCTGATACGCAATTTTCCAGAATATCCAGATGTAGTTGTCAGCGTCGCTAGGAAAACAGATGGTCGTCACTGGCCTCTACTTTTTGCCGCCGCAGGAGACTCCACAAAGTAAGTTGCTATGCTTGTTTCTACATTGTACTGATGATAATGATCGCAGACTTTTTGAGGAATGCTTTGAAAGAAAGAGTTACCATACCGCAACGTGTTACATCTTGGTATTTATTATAGATGCGTGCGTCTTACTCTCTAATCGGTGAATGGTCGTTTGAAGGTGATTGCTAAACTGGAAGGTCCGTCCGTAAGCCAACGGGGAGCTCTTCGTTTGCTACAGGTGTGGAACGTTCTCCACTTCCCTTAATAAGAAATTTATGTTCCTGCAGGCAACACTAGATGAGTTTATGTATGAACTTGCTGGAGAATTGGTACGCTTTCATTATAACTCGTGGTCCTATTTAATAACCGTGAAAACATGCAGGTTCAGTTTCTGTTGAGAATCGGGCGTGAGTACGAAAATTCTGATAAGGAGCTCGGTAGAAGTAACAGTAATACCTTGACCACATTCTTTCTTAGATTGCCGTCGTCGACCAGACGGTAGTTACCGTGAGCTAATTCGTGTTTTGTTTCTGATTTGTCTCTTTTTTTTTTTCTTTTCAGGGCGTCATTGAGTGAGACAGATCTTCTCACGTCCACAGTTAGAAAGATTTTGGAGGATCATGCCGGGGGTTTGATGTCAAGGAGAGCTCTCTCCGATCTTGTTGCATTTGTCAAGGAAACTCAGTTCAATCTCACGGTAGGCTTCTGAAGAGAAAGCTCGCTAGCTTTTGTTAACTCAAGGAATCTCTTTTGTAGAAATTTCTGCAGGCCGAAAGAGATAAGTCAGCGAGATTAGATGACTTCGCCTCCGCTCTTCGATCAATGAGTGAAAAGGTAAGTGCTCGCCGACTCTAGGCTCTGCTAAAATATGTGAAGTCTTGTCTTTGCAGCTTTGCATGGACGTCCTCCAGAACAGGCTTGATGCCGAGTTTTTGCTGGCACACATGTGTACCGTCGGGTTCCGAGAATGGATTGTGGTGCTTTCGACGCTTTTGAGGCGCGTCGAGGTTGGCCTGGAATGTTTGATTCCGTTAACGTTCTCTAACGTGTCTCGTCCTGTCAGCTTCTGGTGGAGATCTTCCGTGGTGACGTCCGCCTGTGGCAAGCGTATAGCAGAACACTTAAAGTACGTAATGGTGATGCTCATCCTGTGTTATTAGACTGATAAGTTTGCCTGCAGTCGCATCGAGATTTTGTCGAGTACCAGGACCTCCTTGTAGAGCTGGAGAGCTCCTTGGCATAAAATGGTAAGGACATTCTCTATTCCTCTTCTAAAGTCATTCTCGTTATGGTTGTCTGCTGTGCAGGACACTGTAAATTTTTGCTACTTGTTTATGTCTTCCAACCAGAGACCTTTTGTCGAGTGTGTGCGAAAGTGGTAGACGAAAAAGAAGAGAAGCAAGGCGGTACAGGACACGGGGAAACACAAGAGTAAGATTGCTATTATTCCCGAGAGTGATGACACCGCAGCAGTGATTCCATAGCGCAAGTTGAGTTGTCACGACCGGCAACAAAGGTGTCAAAGAAAGAAGGCGAGCTGTGCTCAAAGCGCTGGATCTCTAGACAACCCCGGCGCTGTTGGCACTGGCGTGGATGGAGGAGGGATGATCGATCATAAAGCGAAAGTGAAACAAGCAGTGCAAAAAAAAAACTCTAGTAAGATTCCTGTCGCGAAGCAAAGCAGGGAATCATTCAGTGTTCTTCGCCGCGCGCGCAAACTTTTTTCTCGTGTAGTTTGGGCTTTGTTTCCCATGCGAATGGTTTGGCGCATCACGAAATAATCGTAGGAGCAAACAGCGCAGCCATCAAGCGCACATTGACCACTCTGGCCACCATACAGATAGTAATGGGGGCGTTTTTTTTCTTGTCCTACTATACAATGGAATATAAGAATTTCTCGTGGTTCTGATGAAGAAGCTTCCATGCAAGCTTTTCTAGTTCTTTAATAATTTCTTCTTCTTCTTCTACTTCTTCTTCTTTTCTGGAGCTTATATTCATTTAAAATATAAATATAATATGTGAATTAAAAGTGTGAGTCTTTTAAGAAGCTGCCAAGCCCTCAAGTGTGCTTACTATATGTCTATCCAGCCAGCTTTGTAGCAGCAAGCCAAGTGTCCCCCCCTTTGGGAGAGTTCAAAGGCCTGAGGGAGTGTTTGTGTTTGACTCGGGACAAGTTATGGAGGGTCTTGCAACGCCCAATGGGGTTCCATTGATTCCCCGCCGCGCATAGCTTTCTCAAAGCTTTCTTTCTTTTGCGAAACGTGAGCGTGCAAAGCCTTGTCCCACGCCCGGGAGACCTCACCCCCATTTTCTAATCACCCAAAGCTTATGATACCATATGATTACGATGCCCATTTGGGGATCCCTCTCCTTACCACCCATGGTTGTTCCATGGTTCACATACATACATATATATATATTTACCACCTATAATTTCTTGCTAATATTTTAAAATAGTATAGTTTTATGCTTTGCTTGGGCCTTAAACAATCCAAACATGACTATGTATGTATTGGTGTTAACAGTAGTGTGGACTTTGGAACAACAGCAATATACTAATATTTTAAAATCTTATCATGCCCAACTAATAAGCACAAGATCAACTATACCAACAAGAACAATAACAAGTAATAATTGAGAATTGACTCTTAGCGCGACTGTTTCCGTACAAAGCGTAACTAAGACCACCGACGTTGAAATATTTTAAATCAGATTTTTAAAAGCCTGTGCTGCAGGTCTGCTCCTGAAATCCAATCTAAAACGAGAGCAAAGCGAGCCTTTTGTCGAATGTAGAAAGTATAATACGTCCTTCCCGTTTGTGAGGGTTACTATTTCCGGTAATGTGACAACTTAGGATACAGTAAGGTGGTCTTGTTCATATCTGGGCTAATGTACTTGCTGTGCTATAAAATAATTCCCCTCGAGGAGCCTTTTGCCTCATTTGCGAGTGTATGTGTGTTTTCTGTGTGTGTGTGTGCCAAAAGAGAACACCAAAGAGAGAGGACAAGAAATTTCTAGTCGAGGAGAGCATTCACTCGCTGCTAAGTTCGAGAAGAAGCATAGAAATCTTTCATAAGATCGCGAGCGAGAGAGAGAGAGAGATTGTGTGTGTGTGTGTGTGCTATAATAGAGCTTTGTTTTTGTGTGCTTTTGTTTTGAACGCTATCTCTCTCTCTTTCTCTCTCTCTCTCTCTCTCGCTTTTATTTGTAACGCTCAGAGAGGTCTCGGCTTTGGCCGGGGCTTTGATCGCACTGCCGCGGTGCTGTCACTCAATATCGGTGCTGTGTGCCTCACATAAATTCGCTCGCTTCTCAAGGAAAAACCTTGTGTCACTTCCTCGATGGATCAACAGCAGGTTTTGCGTCTCCTCCCTGATACTCTCTCCACACTTTTGGGAAGATACATCCCGTTTGAGCGAGAGAGATTGCAAGTGGCTTGAATCTCCGTTATCTCCCGTGACTCAATCAAGTTGCTCTGGATGGCTTTGTTTGTCAGTAGTTTCGTTCGTTCATCACTTTCAGTAGCTTCTTGCGAAGATTGCGATGTTTGCGTTTGGATTTTGTTTCTGTGGATGATTGCTCGGCTTTGGCAAGTGTATTTGGAGGGACAAATTTTTGGTGCTGGCTTGCTTGAATTTCTCTTGTGGCTTGCGGAAGATTGCGACCTGTGTTGAAATGCATCACAAAGTTTGTGTCTGTTTTCTGTTCTCTTGTGGCTGTACTACGGCTGTACTGCTGAATGCAACTGGGAAGGTGCATGAAAATCTGGGGAAGATAGAACACACAAATAAATATGAAAAAAGGAAAAAAAGAAGGAAAAAAAAAAAAGAAAAGAGGAGAAGAAAACTGCATTGCATTTGGCCTGCTGTAGAAATAAAAATGTGCACAGAATCCACGACATACTGCATGCTGATTAGAATCTGTTTGCAATGTGCAGCAGCAGGACCAGAAGAAGAAGGGATCTTCAAACAATAACAGCAACAGCAACACGTAAGCCCTCCTCCCACTCCCTCGCAAAACATCTCCAATTTCCTTCACAAGTGCTGCCGAGGGGAAACCAAAACAAAACCTTCGCTTTTTGCTTGTACTGACATCCTCGAAAATTTCCAACACATAAAAACACCCACTTTCTTTCTTATAGTTGCTTTTTTTCTTCCCCATTATTTAATTTAATTTGTCCTTTTTCTTGTGTTTTTGTTCTTGGGTGCAGCTCTGGGGGCGGGGGCAGTGGCAGTAACAATGCGGCACAGCAAAAATCTAAATCGGTGAGCTTCCTCTCTCCAAGTTACGTGCGTGAGTTGTCTGGAATTGTGGTGTGATCTCCTTTCCTTCTTTTTGGAATATGCGAGCTTGCAGAGACAAGAAGATAAAGGGCGGGCCGGCCTTTGCTTTTGGGTAATGCGCGCGAGAGTAGTGCCATATCTCTCACTCGCCAGGAGTGAATATTTGATCGATTATAGCCTCCCTCCTGGCAGTAGAGTGGACTCTTCTCTCTTTCCTTTTTTTTTTTTTTTCCTGATATTTTACTATTCATAAAAGAAAATTCCCTCCATGATCTGTGGACTAATTATTGGTTTCTTGGTTCCTTAAGAATTCCAAGCGCTCCATCGCGGAGACTGTGAACCTCGCCGCCCAGAAGTTCCTGGCAGACTCCTCAAAGAAGTGAAAAAAAAAAAAACGAGACGATCCAATCCAGCATTGCGATATATGGTTGGGCTTTGCTATACTTGAACTATAGATATTATCTCTTCTAAATATTACAATGTGTGTAAAAATCATAGAAATGGTGTTTTGCCATGTGTACCGCGAAAAGTGCCTCCCCAAGGCTTTTGCTAAGATCTTAAAGTGGTACTCATATACTCAATGAAAATAATGGAAAAATTCCCTCCAATAATTGATATTAACACTCAATTTGAAATAATATTCCGAGGGGAGATTCTAAGGTTCGAATATGGCGCCAAAAATTGTAGGGAGGAGCACAGAGATTCGCTCGTTTACGTGGCGGGGGCGGTGTCCCTGCCAAGGTCCCTGTGTAAAGGGCGGCATTATATTGCCACTTAGGGCAGTGCTTTAACTTGAGCGCCATGGCGTGGTCGGTGACACAGGCTCCTGCTGGTAGGGCGTCTTGCATTTGCCCTAGAGGGATTGGCGGTAGTGGCGGCATTGGCGCGGCGGCCTCCTCGTCCCAGGCGCTGCGTTCCTCGGCTCGGCGGAGGAAGAGAGTGGCGCTTTGCTGTGGATCGCCGCTCCTCGGTCAGTATTTCGATTCTACTTAGATCCTTAGCTTAGGCGCTCCTAGAGATTGGATTGGAGAGTCGGATTTCCTTCCTCTGTGGAAAATGTGGAAAATCTCTGTCCTGAGCGTTTCTTGCTTCTTTGTGTGGCAGGAAGAGCGTTATCGTTGAGCTGCCACGTTCACGGGAAACACTATTCACGACCGTCAAGTAAAAAAGTTTTTTTTTTAAATGGTAGTCTCACTCCTTTATTTCTCAGCGAGGGTGTCTTGCGCGGATCCTGTCTCTCCGGCAGAATCTACAGCGGCCTCGACGGCAACCGCTTCGAAGGATTTACTGGAGCCTAGCAAGGCAGATCACAGCATGGAAGAGCAGACCATGGAGATTGCCAAGCAAATCCAGGTATGGACAATGTTTCGCCCGTCAAGCGAGTATAGATTTTAATGTATGGCGTCGGGTAGATGTTGTGGGCGTGCAAACTCAGATTGCTCCTTGCCTATTTTACCCGCGAGCGAACTAGTTTTTCCTCCGTGGTTCGTATACGTCCTGCACAACTGACGCTTTTAGTCATCAGCACCTTTCTGTTTCGTGCTTGCTTAACTAACAGTGGAGACTTAGTGGGACTGTACTGTATCTGATTTATTTCGCTCTCTCTCGTTTTGCAAATCATGTTTTACTTATTCTGTTTAACTTCAGGCTTTTAGAGATGGAAGTTTGAAGTTGAAAGAACAGGATGCCGCGCTTCCCAAAGTTGTTCCTCCCCCGGGTGATGGCCAGCGTATCTACGAAATCGATCCGTACCTTAAAAACTACCGAGATCATCTAGAGTACAGGTAATTGCAAAAGTTTTATGTGGTGAAATGTGTCTTAAAGCTGGCTGGCGGTTTTAGGTACTCACAGTACAAGGCGAAAGTTGATGCGATCAACAAGCACGAAGGAGGCCTAGAGGCTTTTTCGAGGGGCTATGAGAAGTTCGGCTTTAATCGAACGTATGCTTCAAAGCATCTTTAATGGTGTGATTGACTAGGATATTTGTCCGGATATTTTATTCATGCTGTCTTTGCAGTGCCGCTGGTATCACGTATCGCGAGTGGGCACCCGCAGCGAAATCAGCATCTCTCATGGGGGATTTTAACAACTGGAATCCAAATGCAGACATGATGAAAAAGGTGCGACAAAACGCTTTAGTTTTGCTGCTCATACCTTGGCCGAGTTTTTACAGAACGAGTACGGAGTATGGGAGCTTTTCCTACCCAACAATGCAGATGGTTCTGCTGCGATTCCTCATGGGTCCAGAGTGAAGGTATGGCATTTTCTGTCGTAGCATTTGTCGACTGTGTAGTGTATCTATCCTACAGATTCACATGGAAACTGCATCTGGTGTTAAAGATGCTATTCCAGCATGGATCAAGTTTGCAGTTCAAGCACCGGGCGAAATTCCCTACAATGGAATTTATTATGATCCTCCACCTGAGGTTTACTTTCTGTTTTATCCCACGTCCGATGTTGTGACTCTGCCCTACCACAGGAACGATATGAGTTCAAGCATCCACGTCCTAAACGGCCCAATTCCTTGCGAGTATATGAAGCTCATGTTGGAATGAGCAGTACGGTTTGTATCTCTGACTTCAAAAATAAAGTCCTTTAGAAGCATGAATCTCTCTGTTTGCAGGAGCCGAAAGTAAACTCTTACTCTGCGTTTAGAGATGATGTGCTACCTCGAATCAAAGGGCTCGGATACAATGCCGTGCAGCTCATGGCGGTTATGGAGCACGCGTACTATGGGAGTTTCGGGTAAATTTCGACAGTGGAAGGCATTGTTGTGGCTAACGTCGTGTCATTTGTTGCAGGTATCACATCACAAACTTTTTCGCTGTGAGCAGCAGATGTGGAACTCCTGACGAGTTGAAGAGTTTAATAGACAAGGCTCACGAGCTTGGGCTTTTTGTGTTGATGGACGTTGTTCACAGGCAAGTGACGGTTCTCTTTACTTTATTTTGACTGACGACGTTGGAGACAACAGCCACTGCTCAAACAATGTGCTGGACGGGCTAAATATGTTCGACGGAACTGACTCGCAGTATTTTCATTCTGGAGCTCGTGGATATCATTGGATGTGGGATTCGCGGTTATTTGATTACAGTAGCTGGGAGGTACGCACTACATAATGGACATAGTACAGGCGTGCCTTTTTATTCTTGTCTCTTTTAGGTGTTAAGGTTCTTACTTTCTAATCTTCGATGGTGGATGGAAGAGTACAAATTTGATGGATTCAGATTTGATGGCATCACTTCAATGATGTATACACATCATGGATTGCAGGTTAGTGTTCTGTCATATCTCGACAGTTTCGATTCATTTTTTCTTTTTTTTGTGTATCAGATGACTTTTACCGGACAGTACTCAGAATATTTTGGAATGACTACCGATGTGGATGCCGTGGTTTACCTTATGCTTGCCAACGATTTGCTTCACGCATTGTACCCGCAGACGATAACCGTTGCAGAAGATGTAACTTTTATTTTTTCTTTTTCCCCTGTTGTACTAATGCACTTTTTGGTATGTATATCAGGTGAGTGGAATGCCGACATTATGTATTCCAGTTGCCGATGGTGGCATAGGTTTCGATTATCGGCTCCAAATGGCTATTGCTGACAAATGGATAGACATATTGGAGAAGTAAGATTCCTTGCAACTTGATTGGGGTGATTTACACTTTCTGTGTTTTCTTTTTCTTTTGTTTTTTTTTCAGATTAAAAGACGAAGAATGGAACATGGGGAACATCGTGTTTACATTAACCAATCGTCGATGGATGGAAAAATGTATTTCGTATGCTGAAAGTCACGACCAAGCACTCGTTGGGGACAAAACTTTGGCTTTTTGGCTGATGGACAAGGTAAATGCTAGATTCATGTTTGCTGTCACCAATGCACTTGATGAACAGGATATGTACGATCATATGGCTCTCGATCGTCCCTCTACTCCTCGGATCGATCGTGGAATAGCTCTTCATAAGATGATTCGATTGATTACCATGGCTTTAGGAGGAGAAGGTTATCTTAACTTTATGGGGAATGAATTTGGACACCCAGGTAATCGTGGATGCTACTGTAATTTGTTTCTTTGTTTTTAACTCTTTCTCGTTGTGTACAGAGTGGATTGATTTTCCACGGTCTGATCAAAAGCTTCCTAATGGGAAGTTTGTGCCGGGGAACAAGAACAGTTTTGATAAGTGTCGCAGACGTTTCGATCTGGTACGTATCGTATTAATTGAAATAGGAGTTTCTTACGCGCTTGTTGTGGACGTTGCAGGGTGATGCGGACTACCTAAGGTATCGAGGCCTTCAGGAATTTGATCGCGCGATGCAACAACTCGAGGCAAAATACGAGGTACGGAAAGCGGATCAAATGAACTAGACCTATATTGCCTTTCTTGTGACCAGTTTATGGTAGCACCTCACGAGTACGTCTCCCGGAAGAACGAAGGCGACAAGATCATTGTGTTTGAGAAGGGAGACCTGGTGTTCGTGTTTAACTTCCACTGGCAGAAAAGCTACACAGACTACCGTGTCGGGTGTCTCAAGCCGGGGAACTACAAGGTATGCCGCTTCCAGCTTCTTTCGTCTTCCTCATTCTCGTTTTGGTTAGGTTGTGTTGGACACTGACGAGCGACTATTTGGTGGATTTGGAAGGCTAGATCATTCGGCGGTCTTCCACACAAATGTGAGTCCAAAACAACACAACTTGGTAGAGGCTGATCTTTTGGATTTGATCAAACAGGAGGGGTGGTATGACGATCGACCACAATCGTTCCAAGTTTACTCTCCCTGCCGCACTGCTGTTGTCTACGCGCCGGTAGTTCCCGAGAGTCAATCCGTCGATGAACCGCTGGAGGCGCAAACCAGCATTCCCATTCATAACTTGTGACTTCGCGCCTAAAATTTGTATTTCAAAAAGATTCTTGGTATATTACTTTTGCTTATCGGAATCGAACCTCGACCAAGTTGTGTTTTAGGGTTTATCGCAGAGAGTGGCGATGGCGGATTCTTCGTGGGACGATGCCGCTCTCATCACCGCTTTCAACTCCGCGGTCGGGAAATATCAGGTGAGAAGCCGATGCTCCCCCCCGATCAATGCGGATCTTATCGATTCTTTCTTGCCAGGAGAGGCATAGCTCGAAGGAGTCCGATGGAAAATCTTCGTAAGTTATTCCAGTGTGCGATCGTTTGATCCTTGTTTCTTGCGTTTCTCTAGACACCAGGAGAAGATCGAGAGTGCAAGCCAGCAAGATCAAGCGGCGGCGGAGGGATCGTCCCAGCACGCGGATTCTTCGTTCGTGGATCCTTCTTCATACTATCCATATCCATATCCACAGCCTCATCCCTCATATCCATACCCGGCATTTGTGTATCCAGTCCCTGCCTATGCTTGCGCTCCTCCGCCAAGCCATTGCTGCCACCACTCGTGCTGTCACTCGAGCTCTACTCAATCTTCTCGCTCGGATGATCCATCTTTCGAGACGCTCAAGCTCGCAATTCTACAATCTCTCTCGCAGCTACCACCAGGTACAATTTTTCCATTTGTTCTTAGCTTTTCTTGCGATTCTTCCAGTCGTTCTAGATTCATTCTCACGAATTCTCACGAATTCTCACGCGTTTTATTGTTTTGTTTCTTAGACAAGCAACTATCGCTCGAGGACAATGCCGAAGTTCTCATCGCTTGGTTCAATGCAGGATTTCGCACTGCAAGGTATGCAAAGCTCAAGAGGAGTTTTGGTTCCCTCACTTCGCGATCTTTTCCGTGCAGCCACTTGTACAAACAAGCATAGGTTACTTTAAAGACGATCTATAAGATTAGCGAAAATCAAAAACCATGATCCGTCCATTTCGGTGGATCCGACGCGGCAAGCATCCAACGGTGATGTGGTTGCTCGTTATTTTTCTCTCTTTTCCGTGGCTTTCTCTCTCACAGATCGCCATCACGGGTAGTACCCATTTCTCTTTTTCTAATTTATTGGGCCGAGCGTTGGTTGGATCAGGGCTTTCTTCCTAGGGTTCGTGGCGAGAGAGCGCGGAAGTGGATGATCACAACGACGCTGATCCTCCAAAATGGTACTCCTTTCCTTTTTCTTTTGCCTACATTTACTCCAAATCTCTTAATGCTGCAGACCAGCGAGTCGAAAAAGGAGGCTTTCAGGAAATATTTGGAGGCGAGTGGAGTGCTCGATTCGCTAACAAAAGGTCTGTTTGTTTTTCCTCTCTTCCCTTGGTCTGATCAAGCGAGTGTGTGTGGCAGTTCTTGTCGCTCTGTATGAAGAGAATGATAAGCCTCCTCTAGCGATAGAGTAAGTCTTTCATCGCTCTTCCTTTCTCACATTACTCTGATCCTCTACGTGTTCTCATTCCAGTTTCATTCAGCATAACTTAGGCGGTTACACGAATGAGGAATACACCAAGCTCAAGGGTGAGAGGGACGAGCTCCAGCTTAAATACAATGAGCTAGTCGCGGCGCACGAAGAGCTTGGTAGAAAGGTAGAACTCGCCTACGGATTATCAAGTCGAGACTCATATGCTTCCTTTGGATCCACAGTTTGAGGAGCTCCAATTGCAGCTTCCTCCTCCCGAGGAGGCACCCCCAGTTGAAGGAGCTCCACCAGCATAGGAGATCAAAATCACAGGGTCACTAGTTCTTTTGAATCATAACACGCTCTAATACATTTGGATGGAGAAGCTTAAACCTTTTGTGTATATCGTCTTGGAAAGAATCTAACTTGAAAATCTAAGCTCGCAATGGCTGTGACGAGCTTCCTTCCACCAAACTTAAATACTCGGCAATAGCATTGCCTTCTAGAGTTACTTCTAGATCATACTCCTCGTAAGCATCTCCTGTCACGTTCCCTGCCATCTCATCTTCCATTTCTACATCGCGAACTTGTGCTTGATCCTCCTCGGCAGCAGCCCCGTGTTCTTGTGCTTGTTCCTGTTGTTCTTCATCTTCTTGTCCTTCACCCATCACTGCCGCTTCATTGCTACTGTTTCCCTCCGCAATAAGCTTTTCCAAGGCCTGGGCCACACCACCCGATGACTGAAGAGCAGCGGTGGCTGTAACACACGACATGAAAAACTCTCTAAAGTCCACCACTCGTTCATGAATTTACCTCTCTCCCTGGAGAAGCCCATTTGCATCAAGGCTGACACGTCGGCGTTGCTAACCCCCCTCCGCGTCGTGGAGGAAGAAAGCACCGACTGCAGAGCTTCCAGATGCGCTGGATTGGTAAGAATGTCGATCGCCAGGCCGGTGTTATTGTCAGTTTGCTTGAGCGCTTCAGCAATCAGAAGCTTGTCATATCTGACGAGAACAAATAGAAAACGAAAGCTCAGCTTTAGAAGTCACCAAGAGCTTACCCAAGGGGGACTAGTTCATTTAGCTGCTTCAAATCCACTGCCTTGCCCGATCTGGTTTTCCCGTAACGCCTTTGCTCGCTTTGACGCATGATTAGAACGTGTTAGTTAATAATGCCACGAATTCTCACCGTGCTCACCGCAAGTTCTCTCTGTGTTGTTTGTCTTCGGCACGTTTCCGTTTCTCGATATCCCTTTGCTCCATGACAAACTCCACAGCACGGTCCACATCTTGCCCCGACACTCTCAAGCCCCGCTTCGCTTCCTTCGTAGTGAATCCCATATCAGCTAGTATTACCAAAGATTCATCAGGTACTTGCAGCTGTATAAAAGATTAAACTTTCAAGGGTCACAAGTGACAGGAAAATCGTACCTTGAGAAACTTTTGCTGGGCGGCTTCAAGCGACGCGCGTGCAGCGTCGACGAGTCCACTGTGGAATGCCACAACGCCTTCTAGCAGCTCCAGCCGAACATATCTACGAAAGCAAAGAGAAGAAAGATATCAGACCATGGGTCTAAAAGCCAAGACACGAATCCGAAAGTAAAAGATAATGAGGCACCAGAAAGAAAAAAGAAAAAAAAACACGAAGGACTTTTGCACGCGACCAGTCTGACTCCAAAGACCATACATAGCGAGCTCTGGACAGAATCCTCCTTGTAAAACACGCAAGCGCTCCAGATTTGCGCCGTGCGCACGTTTGAGCCCTCTCCGTGCTTCGGCCAGTCGCTCTTTAGCAACACCGAGTCCTCCAATGTCACGCAACATGAACAAGCACCACACCATGTCAATTTGTAAGAATGGCAGATTGTCGACATGCTGAAAAGAAGTGTAAAGTCTCTAGACGAAGGAAGAAGTAAACAGTTGGGTATTACCTCGATCATACTCCTGTCGCACAATAAAAACGATTCCTGTGGAAAGAGAGTGAGGGAATTATCTCAAGCATTGCTAATCCTTACCTCTGCAAATGCCAGGACTTCCAATGCTTCCCTGTACTGGCTTGCTTCGATGAGCTTCCGGGCCTTTGCATGAAGTATCAGACCCATCACGAGAGCCCTGAGAAAACAAATTCATACGAACACAAAGGTGGTCAGTGCTTGCATGATCCAACTCAAGCCCACCTTCTATCACTGTCACTTTTGAAATGCAAAGCTTCGCCATTTTGATTGAAAAGAGAGAGATCGTAGTCACCCATCGATGAGAAATCTTCATTGCTTCTGCTGGCCATTGCCTCCGCAGCAGCTCTGCCAGAGCACGAAACCACGCTTTCAAAGAACCGATCGATGCAAAAGGAATTGTTTCCCACCTGATCCTTGCGAGCCGCTCGGCTTTCTCACACTCGCGAATCACCGGCGCCGCTTGCTCCCTCCCAATCCGGGTCATCAGCAGCTTGGAATTCGCATGTAGCCCCAGATCGCGCAGATTATCGGCGTCCCTGAGATTCCTGCCCGCACTGATGAGATTGATCGACTGGACATCGAAACCTGACACCCGGGACGCCTCTGCGCGCAATTCCGCGACGCTCCACCTCTGGATCGGGACGCGGAGGATGCCGGACCAAGCGCCAGCCACGCGCAGCGCCGATTCCTCGCCATCGCCAGCACTAGCACCATCACCCCCCATCTTCCAATAAACCCTAATCGCCAAAGCCCTATTGCAAACTTTTTACTCAAGGGTAAAGATGAAAACCCCGGGTAAAATTTCTGTCCCATGTACCACACATTCACAGAACATTGCTGTATCTCAGGGAGGCACATCAATGTAGCTTCTTTATAGACAATCTATCTCATAGATAGCCTTTAGAGGCTTCCTTTAGAAACTCTATTAGACTAGAACACTCTTTTGTAAGAGAAAACTAAGAGAATGTGATCCTTCCTCTCTATTTTCTTCAAATGTACATTAGCTACATCGCCTCGGATTTCTCAAACTAGATTCTTTCCCTCGTCTAGAAACACAGTTACGGTTAGAGCATACTTATTAAAATATCTCATCTCAATCTATGATTTCTATGATCGATGAAGAAAACGAAGAAGGGAGTAGTAATATAGCAGTAGTAGCATAGTAGCAGTAGCGATTCACGGATTGAACAGCTTGTTGCCACACTTGCACCTCCAGCCCTCGGGTTTGTAGTTGGAGTACTCAACACTGACCTGTTGGTGGTGTTGGTGGTGTTCTTGGTGTTCTTCTTGTTGGTGTTCGTGTTCTTGACGGTGTTCTCGGCGATGTTCTCGCTTCCGTGGTACGACCGGGGATTTGCGCTCGATGGGCGTGGGGACTTGCACTGCCTGGCACGGGATGCATCGGTTGCATTTGTTCTGGCAGCTCGGAGGCCGAGATCCGATGTTGCTGCTCATCTCGGCCAGGCTTTGCTGGCTCGCCTGGACGGCCTGGCATGGAGTGCACGAGTCACACTTGTTGATGCAGCTCGGGGGCCGCGATCCGATCCTCGATGCTGCTGTTCTTCGCGCTGCTGCTTGCTGCTGAGAAACGAACGGAAACAGGAAAAGAAACGGGGAAAAACAAAGTAAGTTTCTCGATCCACAGAGTTTTTGAAAGGTTGTTTCACTCACTTGATTTCTTACTTGCAGTGAGGAGGTGTCATGAGGTCCTACAAATCCATTCTCCCAAGCTACAAGAACCAGAAAGAGGAAGAGGTTTTGTCCGAAAGTTTTCAAGGAGGAGAATTTTTTTACCTGGCCTGCCCGTTGTCTCGCAGCAGCTGACCAAAAAAATGAAGAGAATTGTGCTCAACTTCACCAACATGCTACACTGGCATCCTTGTTATTAATGAGAGAAGGAGAAAAAAGAATCAATCTCTCCTGTTTTCTTTTTCTTCCTTCCCTGTTCAAGATGCTATTTGTCTGCCCTGCCTCCTGCTCCTGTTTGTTCCCTTCTGCTGCTGATTTCTACCCAAGAGATCATGCATATATGGAATGAGCTCCAAAAACAATTACTGCCTACAACAGAAGAGGACACACCATACAGAGAAAGACAGAGAAAAAAACTCCCAAACTCTCAAGAAACGCTATGATCTCCCCTTGAAGTCATAATAACTGGCACATCCAACCTTTCTTCTCCTCCTTCCAAGCCCCGTTCCTTCTTGCTGCCAGTCTTTGCATCATGTCTCCCTCTTGGGCTGCCTTGCCACATTGAACAAACAAAAGAACACAGACTTTAATCAACACCAATCTGATGACAATTGGTTACCAGCTACTAAACCATCTTTCCTGGATCCTAATATCACTGCTGAGCCTCCTTTCTTGCACCTGTGCCTTCACATTGTTACACCATGATGCAATGCAGTGTGTGTGCTGAATCCAGACAATCCACTTGGGCTCCCTAAAGCTACAAAATTTAACAAACTTCACCTGATCATCTCTCTCCTTTCTTTCCTCCTTCTTTATACACTTTTAATCTAGTTTTTTTCCCTCCTCACCAACACCCAGTCTCTGATTGATTGATTGATATGTGTTGTATGAATCTGTCTCTGGGGGAGCTGTCCTTTTCTCATCTGACTCAACCTAGAGGTTAGCCACTGGGCCACCTATTCCATAGGCTCCTCTAGTGTGTACCTCTCCTTTTCACATGTTTTATCTTATTGCTTATTCCCAAATCTGTGTATAAAAAGAGCTCATGGTATAAGATACACACCAGCAATCTTGCTCTACATACCTGCTGCAGTTGCTTGTGTATAAATAGCGAGAGCATATATGGGTGTGAATGGGACATGCTACTGGTGGGAAACTTGAGCCTCAAAAAAGCACACTTTCAGACACATTCAGATTGCAGGCCAACACAACATTGAAATTCGTGCCCCTCTTCTTCTATATTGTGTGAATCTCGAGCCCTACAATTTGTACCTAAAGACAGGGCAGAAGAAATCGAAATCGATTTATCCTGAGCACCAGAATCTGTTCACACTTCCAAAATTTAACTGCCACAGATGCGGTGACTTTAGGGTTGCCACCTTTTTTGTTACCATAAAAAGCAGATAAGATACACATTGATTTACTGTTCACACTGGAAGTGCTCTCCTTTTATACGCTTCATTAGAAAGAGAAAGCTGTCGCCGTTAGCACCAGAGGTAGATTCCGACCACCACACTGTTAAACAGCATATATAAAAATGCCTACGCGCTTACGCTGTAATTGCGAGCGAGCGAGAGAGAGAGAGAGAGGAGAGATGGCGAGCCACAAGGTTGTGCTATGCAACCTCCCCATCCTTTAAATTACGAGACGGTGCGTCCATAGCTCACAGCCGCGATGTAGAGGTTCTTGGACCACTTCTCCTGCGAGGAACAATGGCGTGCGTCAGTAAGATCCCAGAAGAGAAAACAATTAAGGCAGTGTTGTGGACCTTCACATGCGTGCTAGGAAAGGCCGATGTTCTCAGTGTCTCCTGTGTCTCGTCGGCAGGCTTTCTCCGCGGCACGCTCAATACGAATGCTGCTTGATCCCAAGTTGCCGCAGTGGCGGTGATGCGATATCCACAATCCCACCGCCGGTGGATGCCTTCGCTGGGATAGAGGAAATCCAGCTCCACTACCTGTGTAATGCATATAGCGCTGTCAAACAAGTGTGCGAAGCCCGAATGGATTAACAGACCTGGTCCGTGAAACCAGCGTTTCTCGACATGACCACTCCCCAGCGGGTTCCAGCGGTCGCCATGGAAGTCACGTAAAACCCTTCCCTCCACTTTTTGTTGATCCACTTGAACGGAAATGAATCGCTCACTTTGTACGATTGTTGCGTGTATGGTGTCCCTGCGGGGGAAACACGCGTCAGCGACAATGCCAGTGGCCATCAATAACAGCGACAATACCTTTTGACATGACAACCAGCGAGCTGCCGTTGTTGGCTCCTGCAATGGCACTAATGTAGAAGTTTTTCTCCCATTGTTCCATGATCCACTCCTGCCGAGGAGAATGAGCTATGAAGATTACTAAAGTTAAGCAAGATGTGCTAACCTTGTGAAGGAAGACGTTGGAGAGCTCGTACACTTGAGATTGAAAGCCTGTTCCCGCGTCCATAATCAGCGCCCAGAGATTTGAGCACGAAGCCACGCTACTGATGTAAAGCCCATCCTCGTTGCCTTTCTCCACATGTTGAGCTAATCGAGAATCGGCTACATTATAGTGGTACCTATAAAAGCAACAAAAGCTCCAGCTTCAGAGGCATACCATTAAAAACAGTTTTTACCTCTGCTTCATCGCCCTGCGTGCATTGTAGACGGTAATCCATTGAGTTGCTGGAAGCCCAAGTCGGATTTTCTTTTTGGGCTGATCGTCGTCATCTTCTTCCACAGCCAGCCTATTTCGTTTCTGACCAACCTGAGAACGAAACAAACCTTATGACCAATACGATCAAAGTTAAAAACCGCATACCTTCAATGCACCTTCCGTGCTAATAGGCCTGACAGCGGGGTTAGGCCCCAAGACGCCGTCAAAAAGACTGATAAGCTTCGCGTAGTTTGGTGCTTCATCGAACTTCATATTTACAACGATTTCCAAAAACTGCTTGAATGGAGGCGGGCAGAAACAGCACAACATCTCCGGGGATGTGGCCATTTTCTTTTTGCAGACCAGAAATCCTTTATTGTCTCCCTATAAAAGCGCCCATGTAAAACATAAAACTAATATATTAAAACAGCCTGACCTGGTATCCTTGCCAAGGAAGCCGACCACGAAGGAGAAACACCAGCGTGTATCCAAGAGATTCCAGATCATCTCGTCTACTGCCAGTACGACCCAAATGTGCATGCACGCTTGCATACCGCACAGTTCCACTGCAACAAAGAGAGAAACTTAGAACGCCTAGTCTTTGACAAGCACCTGTACATACCGAAAAACATCGGGTCTCTGGTCATAATCGACATGACTCCCACTTTCTGGCTCTCTCCATTTTGTTGCTGGAGCAGAACGAACAAAACGTTAACATGAAAACATAACTTGAAGTGAAGTGCCTACCTAACCCTAGATCCACAAGGAACAACTTCTTCTCGTCAACAGTACCAGGTTGACCTAGCAAGAAATTCTCTGGCTTCACATCTCCGTGAACATAGCCCCGCGAATGCATTTTATCAAGTATCGAAATAGCCTCCACCGCAATACAGGCAACCATTTCAGTAGACATGCTGTTAAAAAAATTGGCAGATTAGGACGAGAGAGGCGAAAGAGCTACTTACGCTTGTCCTGACGAGTTCCACACATCCCACAAGCTAGGCCCAAGCATGTCCATAACCATTACGTAGTAATCTCCTTGACGCCCCTTATGGTGCACTCGAGGCACGCCATAGCTGCCACCAAGTGTACTGCAAACATAAAACACGATAGCTTAGAAACAAAACACAAAGAAAAAAAAAGCCAAAACAATGCTACATACGTGTAAACTTGCCACTCATACGGAGGCCCATAGTTGCATCCTTTACTGCTTCTGTGTTCAAACTTCAAAGCAACCTGACAACATCTTTGATCAGCCGCTGAGAAAAGAGCCAATCCAACTGAGCAAATCTTCGAACAGTCTACCTCAACAGCCTGAGGGCCTGTACGTTCCGAGCCGCCACTAAGCCTCCGTCCTACATATACTTGACCAAAGCCACCTTTTCCAAGCTTCCTCTCGATCTTATATACAGGAGAGCCTCCAACTTGGACCTGCAAGCCACAAACTCGTATTAGCTTTGCCCACATTTTGTATTTCGCGAAAGGACTTACTCTCTCCGGAAGCGGTGACGCGTTCTCTTCGCCTTCGGCAACCTTGTCCCCGCTTCTCCCAGCGCTCTCCTCCTCCATCTGGTGCTCTTCCCTTACGGCAGCAGCCCCACTCCCCTTTTCCAAGTCAGGAAGCTCCTCTTCCTCGCCCTGATCAGCGGCAGCGGGCTCCGGTGGTTGCACCAATGCCTGCGGCCGAGCAGCGACTTGTTTACCCCTGCCTCTCCCACGACCCCGGGCAGCCTTGGGCGCTGCGGCACGCTTGCCTCGTGGCCTCACGGCGGCGCCTTGTTCCTCCTCTTCTTCTCGTCGAGCGGCAGTAGCCCTCTTCCTCGGAGTAGCAGCCGCTGCCGCCGCGGCAGCAGCCGCGCCCCGCCTCGTCGTCCTTCGTGTGGTGTTGGCCGCCTTGTCCTCTACACGCGTGCCAGCAGCTGGAGTGCGCGCCCCGCTACGCAGCTCTGGCATTCTCCCTCACCCATACACACACCTGAGCCCCAAAATCCTGCCCCTACTGCGCACATATCTCTCCGGAATCGTGCTCCAGCAGCATTACCAGCAGCGCTGCTCGATCTGCCACGCGCAAACCCTTGCGCGATTGGAATCTTTTCCCAGATCAATCGGTGGAACCAAACCCTCACCTCGGACGCTGCGATCTTTCTTTCTCGCCAGCCAGATCCTAGCCGAGGATTTCACGCCCGGTGCGGCAGATCCCTCGCCGCTCCTCCCGATCGATCGCACTCCCGCAATGCCGCGCCCCGGACGGAAACCCCCGTCCCTGTCTTGCCTCTCTCTCAAACCCTACCCTAGAGCCAAGCAAGGGACTTTCTTTGGGTTTTCTCATTTGTGGCACACTGCTACCTATTATCCACATACATTGTGAGAACAGCGCGATTGCGCCCCACCCTCACACGCGTGGTCCGCCGCTGCTGTGCACCAATCGCGCGGTTTGGCACGGATTAACACTAACTTTTGTTACCGCCCTGACCCGGTTGACGGCGCGAAAAATGGGCGGCCAGGATCCGCTCTCGTCGACGTAACTTCCCGCCCGTGGATCACCGTTGTAACGGCCAGGATGGGAGAAATCTCTATCCATCAATTCCCACGCGTGTGGCATCTTTTGCCCGTTCGATGCAGCGCTGACCTCTGTTGACTAGGGCTCTCAGTTCCACCGTCCAGAATAGAATGTTTATCAGTCAATGGTCAATGGCTCTTCGGGATTTAAACTTTGTAATCAATCTACCGAGAAGCTAGGGCATTTCTTTATTCATGAAGAGAGCGTCGAGCAATCTCGTGAGGAAAATCTCGTCGGCGGTGGAATGGAGCACTCTCGTCGATGGCCAGAATAGAGTGACCGGCGCCTCGCTCACTCTGATCCGCGAGCGTGCGCATCTCAAGGTAAGCATTGGATCGATTGAATAGATCGATATTTCGATATGTTGTGATCTCTCTTTCGTTCTACCAGGCCGAGCAAGTTCGTGCTGCCGGCGGTGCTAAAGCCACATCGTGCCTGCTGGGAGTCCCTCTTGGTCACAATTCTTCCTTCTTGCAAGGTCCCGCATTTGCCCCTCCTCGCATTCGCGAGGCTATCTGGTGTGGTAGTACGAACTCCACCACCGAGGCAGGTACTTTGTTTTGGGATTGAGCTCTCGCTCGAAACCCATATGTGCTCAACATCCCTTTTTATTTTCTGTACAGGCAAGGAGCTTGCGGACATTCGGATCTTGACGGATGTAGGGGACGTCCAAATCCAAGAGATGCGAAGTTGCGGTGTGGAAGACGAAGCTCTGATGCAAATCATCAGTGATTCTGTCAAGCTCGTCATGGACCAGGTATCTTCGCATATCTTTGCTCTCTTTGAAGTTTCCAACAAAGCACAGACTAGAGCACGACTATTAACCCTTTTTTTCCCTTGATTTTGGCAGCCCCCACTGACGCCTTTGATTCTGGGAGGCGATCATTCCATCTCGTATCCCGTGGTGCGTGCTGTTACAGAGCATCTCGGCGGTCCTGTCGACGTGTTACATTTGGATGCTCATCCGGATATCTATCACGCTTTCGAAGGAAACAAGTTCTCTCACGCATCCTCGTTTGCGAGAATCATGGAGGGTGGCCATGCAAGGCGGCTACTACAGGTGTGACGATGTTGGTTCTATCCTCTCTCCCGACTATTAAAATCTGTGGATGGTGACTTTTTTTGTTCCAGGTTGGACTACGATCGATAAACAAAGAAGGGAGAGACCAGGGCCAAAAGTATGGAGTCGAGCAGTACGAAATGAGACACTTCAGCAAGGACAAAGAAAAGCTTCAAAATCTGGTAATTTGATAGCTTGCTCTAGCAAGTAGTGACTGTTTGCTGCTTTCTCAGAAACTTGGTGAGGGCGTGAAAGGAGTCTATATCTCGATCGACGTCGACTGCCTGGATCCGGCTTTTGCTCCCGGCGTCTCCCACATCGAGCCCGGCGGCCTTTCTTTCCGAGACGTGATGGACATCGTCCAGAACCTCGAAGGCAACATTGTTGGCGCGGACGTTGTCGAGTTTAATCCACAGCGGGACACTGTCGACGGGATGACCGCAATGGTCGCAGCCAAGCTCGTCCGCGAGCTCACAGCCAAGATGTCCAAGTAAAGCTCCTTACCAGTAATCTCCGCACGAGCAAGATCCATCTACGAAGTGGTGAAACCGGTGTGTGTCTCTCACCACGATCTCTTTGTTCACTATTTTGGATATAAACTTGGTTGCGTTGTGACAGTCCTCGCAGACTCGAAGGTTTTTCATCACTCTCACCGTGTCAGTGGAAGAGCTCATCACTCCCAGAGCGATGGCGAGCCTCTCGCTGTGCTGGCACAACAGCCGCTCCTTCTCGGCCTCGTCCACCTTTCTCAGAACAAGCCTCGTGTCCGGGACGTAGCCGATCTCTCGAATCTCCGCGTGAAGCCGCTCGAGCTCCCGGTAAATCTCCTCGCTCCTGGGATGAGACCGATCACCTGCGACGAACTCGTGGACCCGGCTCTTGATCTCGATCCAGCTCTTCCCGGCCTCCTTCCTCAGTCCTCTCGACTCCATCTCGGTTCTAACTTCCGCGGCCTCGTCCCATTTTCCAGCTCCGGCAAGGATGTTGGACAGGACGACGTAGGCACTCTCATCACCAGGATCCAGCTCTCGGACCATCGAGTTTGCAAGCCGGCCTCGATCGACATCGCGGTACTTCCGGCAAGCTCCGAGCAGCGTCTTCCACACCAGGACAGTGGGCTTCACGTCCATGCATCGTATCAACTCCTCGGCGTCCGCGAGCCAGCCAGCCCGTCCCAGCACGTCTACGGCACAGGCGTAGTGATCTTCGCTGGGGGCGATGCCATAGCTCTGCCTCATCGACCGGAAGATCTCCCAGCCTTCGTCCGCGAGACCCCCGTGGCTGCAAGCTGACAGCACGCTCACGAAGCTCTGCTCGTCCGGCCGGGATCCCTCCTGCTGCATCCTCCAGAAGAGCTTGAGCGCTTCTCCGGCGAGCCCGTTCTGGGAGTACGCAGCGATCATCGCGTTGAAGATCACCACGTCCCGCTCCACCGCCACCTTTTCGAAGATCTCCCTGGCGGACTCGAGGCTCCCGCAGCGTCCATACATGCTGGCCAGCGCAGTGGCGACGAAGAGGTTGGACTCCATGCCCGAGTGGCGGAGGTGGTCGTGGACGATCTCTCCTTCCGTCAGTGCGGCAGCGCCAGCGCAGGCATCCAGCACCGCGACGCAGGTGATCTGGTTTGGAGCCACGCCGTGGAGATCCATCCTCCGGAAGAAGCCGAGCGCGCGCTTGCCGTGGCCGTGCTGGGACAAGCTCGAGATGATCGCGTTCCAGGACACAACGTCGTGACGATCCTCCATCGCTCCTCGCTGGAATGACGCTGCCGCCTCGTCGATCGCTCCACAGCTCGCGTACATCTTCACCACCGCGGTTCCAATCGCAGGCTCCGAGGCGTAGCCGCAGGAGACGATACGGGAGTGGAGCTTCCTCCCTTCGGCCATCGCTCGAGCTTCTTCCGGATTGCTGGCCACCGCCTCGAGCAAGTTGAGGTACGTCGCTCGGACCGGCGCCATTCCCTCGAGCTGCATCCTCTGGAACAGCTCGACCGCTCGTTTCATCTGACCCTTCTGCGAGCTTCCAGCGATCATCGTGTTCCAGGACACCGCGTTGCAAGGGATCCTCTTGAAGAGATGGCGAGCTTCCTCCGGCGATCCACACCGCGTGTACATGTCCAGCAGCGCGTTCCCGAGGACGATATCTCGATCCAGCCCCTTTTCCAGCGCGCAGCCGTGGATCATCCTTCCAAATCGCAAGCTCGAGCAGCCGGTGCTGGCATTGACGAGCGTGACTTTGCTTGGCGAGATCCCCTCGTGGAGCATCCTCGCGAAGAGAAGCGCTGCCTCGGACATATGCCCGTGCTGGGCATACGCCCCCAGCATCGCGTTCCACGACACCACGTCCCTCTCGGCAGCTCGATCGAAGACCTCCTTTGCTTGATACAGATGCCCGAGCCGCGCATACGCGCTCGCGAGAGCCGTGCTCACCACAAGCGTTTGTTCCAGTCCACTCTCCCGGACAATGAAATGGATCGCCTGGGCTTGCCGAATCGTCGCGCAGACGGTGAGGGCGATGACGAGAGTGATCCTCGCGGGCCTCACGCCCTCGAGCTGCATTCTCTGGAAGAGCTCCAGCGCTATGCCCAAATCCCCGCTCTGGGCATTTGCTGCGATTGCCGCGTTCCACGATACTAAATCTCTCTCCATTTTCTCGAAGAGAAGCATCGCACTCGCAACGCAGCCGCAAGAACCATAGATGTGGAGGAGGAGATTGGCGAGCACCGATTTGCCCTTTAGGCCGCTTTCCACGATCCAGGCGTGGATGCTTCGCCCCTGCGAGAGATCCCCGAGCCTGGCGCACGCCTTGAGCACCGCGAGGAACGTGACGGCGTCGCATCGCACGCCTTCCTGCTGCATCCGGTGGAACATCCCGATCGCGCGCTTGGCCTGGCCGTGCTCTGTGTAGGCGGTGATGATCGTCGTCCAGGATGCCTCGTCCCTGACCTCCAATCTAGAAAAGACCTCCTCGACGTCGCCCAGGCTCTCGCATTTGAGATAGAGACGCAGGAGATGGTTGCCCAGCTCCTCCTCGAGGCCGAGGCTGACAATGCGCGCGTGGATCCTCCGGCCCTGCGAGAGCAATCGATCATCACCGGCGGCGCGAAGGAGGCGGACGAGATGCGCGGGCCTGGTCGCGCCGCTGCTACTGGAGGGCAAATCGGCCGCGGGGGCTGGCGCTGCTGCGCCAAGGCCCTGGCAGCACCGAGCCATAAACCCTAATTGGCGCCAAAAAATTTAAAATTTGAATTAGCCCTAAGCGTGGGGTTATATGTGGATATTGAGAATGCGGATATTCTCTCCATTGGCGATAGGACGATGCCTATCTTGCTACATTCCTCGCCTTGCTCGAGCAGAGGTAGTGGTGGCTCTCAAATTTCTTTGAGGGCTTTGGATGGCTTTCACAATCTCGCCAAGTTTGAGCCGAAAAGGAGCAGTGGCAAGCGCATTGTTTGCCAGGGCGAGCAGCAGACTAGGCGTGTGCTGGTTTTGGAAACAATCTCAATTGCGGGTAAGTTTGTGGTAAAATTCCCGTAAAATCTCTCTCAACTTCTTCCAGATTTGCCACTGTTTCCTTTCCAATGGTTTATATTTTGTGGTTTGTGTGATCAAATGTAGGAGCTACAATGTTGGCTGCGGGGAATGCCAATGCAATATCAAGCAGCCGGAGAGCAGTATTTATGCATTTGGAAAATTCGTAGAGTGCATTACAATTGTGTGTATATACAGTTGAGGTCGGAGCAAGTTCCTGAGAGCGATTATA